GCTCACATCTCCTTGATTATGAACATTTATAGAGTACATCAATAAAAAGCAAATCGGCGAGACTATAGTTTATGGAAGAATGAATCAGATATAGGATAACAAGTGACGCGAAATTCATTTATCCATTTGGCTAAATAGTGTAGTTTGGTACTTCAACTGATGTCAGTTCGTGATCAAAACCCTTAATCTAATCCCTAACACTAAACATCAACTGTACATCATAATTTTAATTCCTCATACTGCGTTATAACCCTCATTTAGTCCTAGTTAGTAGGTGGATATTCTTAAGGTCAAAGATCATTCATAAATTATAGTCTCACTAGCAAATCTTTTAAACTAAATTTCTAAAATTCAGGTAGCCAATAACTTCACTCGTATAATATATATATATAAAGAATACATTACTAATTGATAATGATTTGTAAGACATAACGCGTTAAAATTTTGTTATAACTTGAAGATAGAATAAAAACTCTATCCATTCATTCACTAAGCTACTTAAAATCTATTATTATGATTAAACTTAATATACAATTTATATTGCAATTAAATATATTTAAGGTCAATTCAATTCAAATCGTCGGAGGCTGTAAATAAACATATAATGGTCGAGCAGGGTAAATAATAAGTTTGAATGAAATTTACTTAATGTTGCTTAATGTTCAATATGTGATGGTGACTAATTTATAACTTGATAACGTTATAAACTCTCATTTGTAACTATCACCTTTATCATATTTTTCTGTACATGAAGATAATGAAAAAAATATGTGAACATTAATACAAATATGATCAGAAACCATCCATGTCACTGTATTCACTAAGCTGAAATATGAACTCAATAGATAGGTCCATTTGTTATAAACTTCTTTTACTTGTCTAAAACTAATTTACTTAACCCTCAGCAGCTACTTAAAAGTAAACTGATAAAACTTAAAGGTACATTTTCTTATCTTCAATATTAGATAGACAGAAATTAATAAATGTTGTATTGTTTGTTTGTTTTTTAACCAACAAGATCTTATTGGATAATATGGGTCATATGAGCATAATAATAATAATCCTAATAATGTCAGCAAATAAAATTCAGAATGATAAAGTTACCATGATAACATAAGAACAATAATTCATTGTTATTTATTTTCCTATTTTACATCAACAAAATGAAATCAAATAACAGGAAATAAATTATGAATATTTAACAAAAGAAATTGAATGAATAAAGAAATTTACGTACTGCTTTATGAAAAGCATAAAAAGCACAAATGATTTTTATCTTACAAAATAAAACTTATCCAAAGGTTTGTCGAAAGAGAATAGACTTAAGTACTGATACTTTTTTTAATTACAGTCAGTCAGTTACAATGTAGGACCAGGCACATACATACATCGGTCCAAGTTGTTACACCTCATTAGCACAGCAAGACGAAAACCAAATTCATAGACTGCAGTTAACTCACTGGTGTAATATGTAAAAGAACGATTTTATGTAAGGATAAATGCAATTTCATGAAGAACCATTTAATCAAACATTTAATCTATTTGTATTCTAACTGTTCATTTATTTTATTAAACCTACTTGTTTCATATCTATTTTAACTGAATAATTATGAATGTTGATTGTATACATCTATGTGTTTTTATGGAAGTCTTATAAGTTATTGTGATGTTAGATACTGGGAAACGTGATAGGAAAACACCTCAATTCTGAGCATATTTTCTTTGTAGTCTATTCTATGAAGAAACAAGGCTAGATTATGTTGAATTTCATGCATTTAATATAACAAACATAAAAGCAAAATAATTGAAGCAGATGAACTGGTAGGAAGTTTTCACAACTGAACTCGAGTAGTACATATAACATGTTAGAAGAAAATCTATCAGATATATTTTTAAATAAGTACAGTTTGAATGTATGTTAGGAAGAAATTTGCTGAAATATTATATACTTAATACTGAGAATTGTTTACTGTGACGAAATACATAGTACTTTAACTCACAGTAATGCATTTATATGTCAAACTATCTAAAACGAGACCAGATCATCACTATGAGGTTTCTACAATTTTGTCCATGGATCAACTCATTCACCAGGTACAAATTCATGTACTTTGTTTCGAACTATAAGCTGGAGGACTAAGTGCACTACGCGGCTGCCGAGGCTGAAGCAGATGTGGTAAGGTTTAAAACTGTGATTTAATAACCATGACCACTCAGATACTGCTACACATCGTTTTTTTACAAATTACACATGTACAGATTCCATCACATGATAAAACTGACACATGAAGTAATGTAACTGAATTATACTATGGTTTACTTGTTAAGCTAGAAATAAACTCATAATGAACTAGAAGCATTGCTGAAAAACAAACTGACAGTGATTAATGTATTATTAGTTATTTCTAAAAAAACGGGATAAACTGTATTAAAGTGCAAATGTGTTTGAAAATAATAATAATGTTATAAAATGTAAATGGATATTCTATTGAACATGAAAAGTCGTAACAAAGTATTTATTCAAAATAAAAATCTTCATGAGTATGGATCTATTAAACATCTTTCTGATTCATGTTAAAGTAAAATATTTAATGTATTATACGTAAACAATTGAGTAGTATGAAAGCGATCAACTTATAACCCAGTTGACACATTAAATAGTGATGCAAAAGTCAGTGTTGTGTCGTATTTATTCGTGGATTATCTTACCATGAAATTAAATTACTTAAATTATTAGCTATGACTAATGTAGGTTATGGGTTGGTGTATTACAAAGTAATTGGAAGAAGAGGCTTACCTTCACTAAGAATAGGATACCATAATGCTAACTGATCACAATGAATAATTTTCAAATGCAGTTGACACTTTATGATCTAAGAATACAAGCTTTATATCGAAGAGGCTCCTAAAAACCCATGTAATGATCTGATGCATTTGTAGGGGCGGTTACTATGTCTGCCCACATAGCTTATTCTAGCCTTTGAATAGGTTAATCTGTTCATTCTTCTCGAGCCATATATTTATCCCGTCACTTATTGGCCTATCAACCTTGACTGTTTTTATGTAAGCGTATATGTGTGCATTTTTTATCTGACTCATCATGTATGTAACTTACTTTTGTTCGACTATAAATATCAATTCAGGCTTGGCTAAATTGAGTTGACTAACTCACCTTCATTTCCCGTCATTTTATTTTGCTTCGCTCTCTGATCAACTATTGTACGAAATATACGTATTTAAAATCCATACTCGTTTTTGACCTATTTAATTGCGTTATTCACCAAGGCAATTTAAGTTGATGATTATATACGAGAGTAGCCAGGATGTATATTTCGACAGCAACCATTTGATAAGGATCATTTGTCTGATCTAACTGGTGTCAGATATAAGGCAACTAGACATTTATTCATAATATTATTGTCAATGAAACAAGTGAAGCAACTGTTTTTATTAGTTTTGAAATTAAAAATGAAATTTCACCGCAATATAATTTGTGTTGCAAGTCTTTGAGATCAAAAACAAATTATTTCACTTACTACATATAACCCAGTGAAATACAAAGATTGATTAGATACTAAAGGCATTAACTGTCAATAAATAAATTATTATAATGAATAAACTAATAAGGTTACTAATAATTAACCTAATAATGATTCATTAAAACTCAATCCATTTTTATTATACGCTTGATTCTTATTAGAAGTGTATTCGAAGAATATGTTAATAATTATTTATCTTAATTATACGGTACAATGATACAACACAGGTAATAAAGTTCTGGTTAATATTGAACTCAAGATAGAAAATAATAGTGTCAATATCAAAATCATTATTGCACACTAACATTACAATGATTAGTAATGAAATACTTACCTGTCTAAAGACATTTCAAAGTGATTTCATACTTTATTCATCGTAGAATGAGAGGTTATAATGATTGTCGAATTTTCGTAGCTGTTCATCATGGTTGTTTCATTTTTCTTTCCTGTAAATGGCGGTCTTCAATTATCTTATCATCGCTTCCACTTAAACTGACGTAAAAAAAGTTTTATTCTTGGAAAACATAAGTTTGTCAGTATTTTTACAGACAATGCTGATCTAATCAAATAGTTTTTTAAATGCCAATATTTTGGATTTCAAGTTCAAAATATAGTTATTTGACACGGCAATATAGCATAGAGATCGAATGTCGATGCTTTTAAAAATGACAGTTTTATCAAACGAAGTACTAACACAATGAATTAATTAATTGGGAGAGAATGTTAAGTGGCTAAACATACCTGAATTTCAAACCGATTGAAAAGATCGCAACAAGGCTCATGAGTTGATTTCTTAACAAAGAGAAAAAGCGTTTAAAAAGATAAACGGAGAACCTATTCGTAATATTTTGAATAACACTCCATTATTTTACCTTGAGGTTTCGTTTAACAATTTGTAATACATCATGGTTGATTCAATGTGATCTGCTGGCAAGTACAATACGATATATCTGTAATTAGCCTGGACGTGTAATCTAACTCAATAAGTGACTTCTTCTAATTCCAATCTACATGTACAATAAATCTCCCCGTCACATTAATGAACTACACCATACATTTAATTCACCCACTTATTTAGTAGCATTTAACTGAGCCTAGTCCTTTTTTCAATGAACACTTCTTCAGCAAAAACTATATAGTAAAACTAAGCTCAGTTTTACTTGAGTAAATGTCTTCAATCAGGTGTTTAAGCATATTCGTTTGCTTTTAGGAAAGTTTACATCGTGAACCAGTACTAGCTATATAATCGTTAAAATTCCAGAAGCACTGTAAATATTTCATAAACAGTACGACACCATTCATTTATCTAATCAATGTCCGGCAATCGAAATTCTCGAAATTTAAATGATTTGAAATTAGTGGCTAAATGATATAATTCTAAGGAGATCGAGTTACAACCAAGCAATATGGAACAGATAAGTAATTGAAGTAACATCCCTATTTCTGAAAACCATCAACAACAGTCATAATAATATATGTATATATTTTTATATTTACAATCTTTCTTTTAGGTCTCATATCAATAATAATAGTAAGAATGATAATAATAACCACAGTGAAAAATAACAATAGAGACAAACGAAAACAGAGAACAACAGTAGTAATGGTTATATATATACTGAAGATTAATTTCTTATTCCTAAAAAATAATATTGTCATTTTGAAGTGGAAAGACCAGATTTAGTGATCAAAGTAACAGAAATATATAATACACCAATAAATAATCTACAATTAAATGTTGTAACTTTTTCAATTCATATATCAACAAAACTTATTATAAAATTATATGACATTGTGTTGATCAATTCGTTCAGAAATCCCACCCCATCGTATACGAAATCGTTTATCACGCCAACGTACTTCACGAAAACAAGCTGCTGTTAAATGCAGTGGAAAAGCTAACAATTCAGAAAATAACCAAGCTACAAGATATTCTAATTTTGTGATACATATTGGAGTTGCCGGTGGATAAATTTGACGTAATAATATATAATCTAACAAAAACCATATAAGGGTATAACACATAAAATATACACCTGGATCAATAAAATTTGGAAAAATATAAGCAAATGTGAAAGCTCCCAATAAAGCATTTGGTAGGCATCTTGTGAATGGTTCAAATATAAAACTCAAAATCGCCATACTTAGTCTTAACTGTGACCAACGTAATATTCGTAAATAAAATTGATATAGACAAGGTGATGGTGAGTTTTGCCAAGCTGGTTGATGAGATAAAGTTATTTTCCAACCTCGATTAGATATATACTTTGTTATGAAATAATCTTCTGCTAGATAACAGCCAAATTGTTTAAAACCACCGGAATCACTTAATGTTGACTTACGTAATAGACATGACATGCCAGTTACACAATTCACATTAAGAAATGATGCAGTTAAATAGACTTTTGCATGCCAACATGAAAAAAAAACTAACTGTACAACCCAAGTAAATGATGGCTGTTCACAAATGGTTGGAATATAATCTAAATCTATTGATGTCCTTGCTCTCAATGTTGTCTTATGAACTTGATTACAATTAATATGTTTGGAGCGTCCTTGAAAAGATGCAATGTTTATGTCTCGTATAGATGATAAAATTCCATTATATGGCTTCATATAAGGCACTTGATGGATGAGACCAACTTTTGGATCCACTTCTAATGATGATACCATATCTATTAATGCATCTGAACGCATCCATAAACCTGAATCTGATATTAATAGCAACGAATACTTGGAAGCTTCATAACCAGCTTGTAAATTATTAATCTTCGGGTTAATACCAAATAAATCTTTGGCTATGATAATGTGTGCATCAACATGTGGATATTGTTTAATTAAACGTTCAGCAAGCTCATAAGCTGGATCTTCTTTATCAGCTATACAAAACAGCAATTCAAATACAGGATAATCCATTTGGAAAAATGATAACAAATTAGTTTCTAAATTTGGATCTCTACCAGATAAAGGTTTGAGAATCGAAACACCGGGCCAATGCACTTCAAACTTCATATCAATCATTACGTTATTATTATTGTATATATTACCATTGTGATTATCTGTCGACAGTGGAATAAGTGTACTCTGAGAGGTAGTTATAGTATTAATGTCAGCATTTGTTGTTGATATAATTGTAGCGTTATTATGCTTTGTTGTCGTTAGCTTGTTAACCTTACCTTTGCATTTATTACAAAATATACATTGTAAACACAAGGTAATAAGTGAAACAATATATGATAATGGCCATTTACAAAATATTATAAACAATCGACGCATACATCGGCGATACAATGGATATTTATACATTTTCTGTAGATATATTGGATAAGGCACCTGATACAAATGTTTTTTACCATACAGTATAGCACATATGTGGAAGATAAACAAAAGGCAATTTGATGTAATACCACCAATACATAGCAAGCTGATTAAAATCTCCAAAATGAATGAATTCGAAGAGTAAAGATCAGCATAATATATATAACCATAATTTGGTAGTCCTGTTGTTAGATTTAATCGATGGAATTCATTGACAAAGTGGAAGGGATCCATTGGTAGTAATTTTCAAATAATAGTATGACGGTTATATGGAGAAAATGTTGACATGCTCACATTATACATGGTCAACTGTGGTACTGAGGCCGGTGGTAGTGTGCATTAACTGCAGCTGTTACTAACTAGGTATAAAACGTTCCCGATCATATAATATTTTCAGCAGTAATACAAAAAACTTCATAAAATAGTTTGATTTAAAATTATCTAAAATAAAATGTTTAATATCGATTATAAATTAATAACAGAAAGTGAAGTTTTATCAGTGACTGCAGGAAATATATAGCAACAGATTCAAATAAATAGCTGTGTGAGTATACTATAAGTTAAATTTGTCATGCTAATTAATACTATCTTGAACGAAGTAACCGGAGAGCTAACCTAATTTTTAAATCATTGGAATAAAATTACTGACCCAAATTTGCTGTATCAATAAACGAGAACTCCATGTTTTACTTCACTGAACTATAAAAAGTAAACATCAATGGGAATAAAACAATCGTGTTTAGTTTCTAAACAAATATCTAATTAAATTATGTACTAAGCACAGGTTTACATAATCACTTTTGTCTGTGGTGTCTGTGACATTACTAGTATTTAATCATCCGGAAAAAAGTCGCTAAATCTGGAATCAAACGCAAGACGGAGTGGTTGAAACGCGCTTTATTTTGCTTGTGACTTTAGGATTATTTCACTTCAGAAAACACAAAATTACAAGTAAAACATGACCTCCTATAATATAAAGAAAAATTTTCAGTAAACAGAGATTCTTTTGAGTGATAAGCAACTTAATGTCACATGAAATCGCAGCTAAAAATTTAGATGGTAAATAACATTGACTACTTCTCTGGCAAGATATACAGTTATTCATCGCACTCAATCTCATAAGCAACCTCTTAAAATATCTGGTAATTTATTGCGCGTCCAAAACAATGAAAAGTATTCTTCCTAAATAAAAACAGACAGATAAATCATGAGTTTCACTACAGTCTCAAACACTCAGTAAACATTAAACTTGTCATTCTTCCTCGTGAACCTGAATTAATGTTGACATTTTGAAAGAAGAATATCACGAAAAAGTTCCTGTGTCAAACCGAATGGCGTTCCAAGCAAATATTTTTATCAGTTTTCTTACTAAACATTGGTATTACGTGTTAGCGTTTAATAACAGTCTACCAGTCACGTTTAATCATATTCCTGTGAGTGGAACATGATTTTTAAGAGTTTTAAACAACTTGGTTTTTCAGGATAATGACCAATCACATGCCTGATTAAATGACAAATAAATTATGGTCGTCGCAATAAAAACTTGATAAGAATCTGATTAAAAGTAATCTGTGCGCTTTAAGTCATGCATCCAAAAATTAATTAGCAAAATAAAACCACATACAAACATGACATACGTTTATCTCACAACACAAACAGATAAACAATCAGAAAGTATCAAGCTATGGAGATTTTCTAATATCTTGTGATGTGATGTAGGCAAAGGAATATATTTACCAACATTTAGTACTAAATGATTTAGATAATCAACTTCTTTGCTAACACATGATACTAATGTTAATGTAGACTTCAAATAAGCATTTTCGTAAAAGATTCAAACAAGAATGCTAAATAATTGTTTACAAAATAAATAATCTTCCTCTTGTTATTTTTAAGTAGCAAGTTTGCAAGCTAGCGGAGACAGGTGATTCAAAATTGAAAATTGCTCAGACTATTTGGGTTTAAGCAGCCAAACCACACCTATTGAAGGCGTGGTTTATATTTTCGTAACTTAACCTGTATGTGGATCATTGTTCCTATTTTACTAGTAACAGAAACATCAGTCAATATAACTGATCAGTTTCACCAACAAATACCTTTTAAGGTCATGGCTTGTCTCACACATCTTTGTAACTCATCAAGCAAACAAACAGTAACTGTAGCTTTTCAGGAAGTACTAGTTGTAAAACGCAGACAGATAAACAAAAATTGACCCATGAATCTAAAACCTGAGATGAAAATAAGACTCAAACAGTACCTATTTGTTAATATAACACCACTGATATCACAGAAGAGCTTAGATTGCATCACATCAATATGTATTGTATCATGTATAAAAAACTTAAACGTACGTTTTTATGCTAATCTACATATTTGTTATTCAAAATGTGACTTTTTCAAACCTCAAAATCTTGTTCATTGGGTGAATAGTGATAGCTAACATGTTTTAAGAAAGACTAGAATGGTAGTCTTGAAATTTGGAGATAAAAACATATTGATCAAAGTGTCAAATTCAATTTAAAAATCATAAAAAACTTCAGAAGTTACTGAATTACTTAGCTGCTAGTATAAACACTTGAATCCGCCGTAAGATTATGGGACAGTTAACCTAGCCTTGTATTTGCATACAGGTTCATTTTCAAGGCTATGAGGCATAGGTATTGTGGGACAGTTTCCTACATTATGCGATATCTTATACTTCAGTAAACCAAACGCCCTAGAAGCTCCACTTATTAGACCACAGGCAATATTATTGTACTTTTTAACAATCTTTCTAAACAAAATGAATCCTAAAGTCTAGAGCTTCAGTTTATGATTTGGAGGTAGGAAAAGTATTCATCTTCATTGGCTTTTAGGTCAGATGTGTCGTTTCACGTTTACGCACAGTTAAATACTAATGCGAAATAAAAAAGCTTAATAACCACAACTACATGCAAATAAGTGAGACAACGAGGATCATCGAATTTATCTATGAAATTACTAGTAACAGAACTTGCCTCATTATTTTGACTAGTATTAAACCTACTGGAATTTTGGTAAAAATCGTAACATTAAGTTAGTTTTTGTAAACTTTTGGGCAAGAATCTATACTATTAATTAAGCACATGAATATTTCGATTTCTATGACATACTCAGTAAAAGAAACGACATAGAATATTGACGAAAAATGTAGTACACAACATAGGAACAAAATATATAGGTATACCAAAAATCCAAAAGGCATTTAGATTATTTCCTTATTTAAGCAATCTCACTTTTATAGGAATAAAAAAACTGGAGACGTACACTGAGGAACGTTTTTATGTGGATTAGAGATAAAGCGGTCATATTTATAGCATTAACTTACGAGTTATATCTGCTTTGTGATTTCTTGTGTGATATAGCTAGAAGATTTTGAACGTACGCATTACCATATGTAACAGCTTGATTACTACATTTGCATCACGCACTAACTTATAAAGAGATTTTTAATTTGCTCATAAGAATAAAAGCACAGAGCATAATGATGCAGTTTTAGTTAATTTCGGTTATTGGTTAATATTTTAACAAAAATCGTCTACTCAATCGTCATAAAGTTAACTTTAAAAATTTCCTAAATTAACCCTATGGACTTATTTCGCACCTTCAGGTATATCTCAGCTCCCTATCTAGTTTGCGCTCCCACTAGAATATGGTCTCTGTGAGGGCACCACAAGTTAAGCAGAACGAATTCACAGAATTCACGAATTCAAGAAATCTTCTTTAGATGAAAAGTGATACAATTTTATTGCATACTGTTCTCTCAGTAAAAATGGCAGCTTTTAGACTATAAAAGAAATTGTTTTTCGAACTTTCAGTACACATATCTCATCGGATAACTTTGAATACAAATGATAATGTAGTGACGTAATTTTCGATATAGTAGGCTATTCTGCTTCACAACTCAAAAGAAAGCAGATAAAATCCAAGGTTGTAAAGTTTTGACCGTGTTTTGCAGAGGAGAGATATTTTGTAGCATCTTTAGGTGCTGGAAGAATATTGACCTCAAAAAGCAAAATATAGACAGAAAATCTTCGAAGACGTCTCTGTATAGAAATAAAATTGTTGAAGTAAATAAATGCTTCCGCCAAAATAATCTAGTACAAACCCCCACCTTTGTGGCTTGACCGACATTTACTGATCCATCATAATTATTGACTGGTTGTTTCGCACAGAAAAACTTAAATTATCTACCAGTATTTCGGAACATACATCTAGACTATTTGTCATTTCAAACCTGTTTGTATCAGCTTCGTACTAAAGTTTTAGCGGCCCGTGGATCTGACTCCATTTAGATCGTACGAATGTTTGTTATTGTCTATTCTCGTATATAATCGTCGACTTAAATCACGTTAGCCAATAACGGAATTAAATAAGTCAAATAACAAGAATGGGATTTTGAATACATATATTTTGTATATAAAGCAAATAGAGAGGAGAGAAACGACGCAGAGTGGAGATGGCTGATAAGCCAACTCATTTTTAGTCAGGCGTTAATCAGTATTTATAGGCAGACAAAAATAAGCTACAGACATGCAGTGAGTCATGGGATATGATGTGTACACACATATACACTCATATAAAAACAGTCGAGGCTAATAAGCGAATAATTAACAAGGTCAAAATATGACTCAAGTAGAATGAATAGAATGGGATGTTCGAAAGCTAGAATAAGATATATGGGCTTAAAATAATTACTGACACTACAAAGTAATTACAGTCATTTATATTGTACTTCTTCATAACTTTTCTCACGTATACTGTCTTAAGTATGACTATTTTATATGTAATTAAATCTTTTACACCGATTCCGTCACGTTTCACACCAACCTAAACCATTTTAGTCAGCACACATTTTACCCGATCGGTCTTCGTAAGTAATACGGGTAACAAAGTTAACACTGACTTTTCAGGATTTGTTTTGGCTATGTTATCAGTCATCTGTTGATTTTCCTCTTAGTGTAGTAAAACCGGCCCCTTTTATAAACTTAATTCAGATTTCAGATTCGTATAATAGGCCCGTAAAAGTTTTTTATTTACCCATCTGAATTATTCTCATAAACGTGGTCAAATCTAGAACTGTAAACACTGATTTCAAATACTATATTTACTTTGGAATCGATCAAAAAGTGATCTGAGGTCATCCTTGATTTATAATTAGTGGTGTCCCCCCTACGAAAAGTTCAGTTTCAAATGGAATCTTGAAAATGAAGCAACTAATAAAATCGTCTATCTCACATTACTTTCCGGACTATACATAATTTGCCTCAGTGTCAAGAACAAAGAATATTAAATTACGGGTCTACTACCCAGTAATTTGTTCCACTCCAAATCATGGCTGTGAAATGTATCCTCTAAGAATATAAAACAACTGTAGTTTACAGGCATTTTATCGTGACTGTCATCAAAACTATGCCCGTATATTTTTTACCATCGAGTTAATAATTTCGAGGTTGGACACAGGGTACTATACAAAGATAGTGAGTTGACTGACGAGATAATTAAAATCTTTCAATTGGGAAGTCTAGGACATGTATGACTGATGCTCATCCACTGACTCCCTTGACGCAAGATGGTAGCTAATGTAGGACAAGGCTGGAAGAACTCGAGTGGTGGTCAAACCATGACAAAGTATCAGCCCATGAAAACATTGACTATCTGACTGACCGACGTGCGTAAGTGAATAGTGTCTGGTTGTGATCCCCATGACTTTTCTAATCCATAGCTAAATGGTTTGGATGACATGGTCGAAAATCGCACAAACTGGCACAGGTTCACTCACTCTTGTTTTCTTTTGGACTATAATTCTACGAATTTCTTGTAATTTTTACTTCACTAATTTTTATTTTCTTCTTGAATCATATCGTCGATACCGAAAATTCCGCAAACTTTTTTATTATTGCACGATATTTATATGATTGGAATACGTTCAGACTTACCTATCAGACTTGATGTATCGACAACAGAAACAACGATTCTAAATAACATTAAGGCGGAGTGGTTACTGAGTGGAAAAAACTTTGGATGCAACCAACCCAGACGAGCAATACTGTAGGTCGTTCATACAACTCATCAAGTGTAGTGCCTTTCATGGCAACAACGTTGGGCTGTCGATAGACCACTGAACTCTAACACTGGACCAAAGCAATGTAAACATTACGCTTATTCATAGCATCTGCCGGCAGATTGAACATATGGATTTATAAACGTTTTACCACGAAAACAAGTATTTTTTATTGTAATGAAATAACATAATAGCAGCAATTCTACGAAGTATTTTGAGAATAACGATCTTACGTGAATGGGCTTTTTTGCTGGCTTGAAGTAAGCTACGACGACTGAACATTTCGACAGACATCACGCAGGAGCTTAACAAAACTCATGCTGCCAATACCCACTCATTAAGAATAATTTCGTCATACTGAAACTCTGTTGTCAGTATCGGTTGACACACGCCACAGATTTCAGAGAATAACTTGATTGATTTGCTCTTTATAGTTAACAAAAACTGTCTAACCGACGAACTAATGTGAAATTCTTAGGAAACAAACTTACAAATATAATCAACCCGAATATTTAACAAACGAAAAATTATTCCGAAAAAAAAGGTTTATTCAGTACACTAATAAACTCCTATGACGGATGTTTATTTTCGGAATCTACTCCGAACATAACAAAGTATAGTACATTCGGTACATACCATTAAAATGAACATATGTTCCTAACACGGTAATCTATCCACAGCGTTAACTAAAGGTCAACGTTCAAATTGTGATGTCAACATTGTAAGAGTGTCCCAACGAAGTAGAAAAACAAAAACAGTAAGTCTTCCTTACAAGTATCGATACATTTTTCGCAAAAGTTTGGTCTATTGTCTAATATAGAACAGAGAAATTTTAAAATCACTAATCACCATTGCGAGTGAAAATTTAAGTTATAACTCCTAGTGGTCTACACTACCATAAGTTCATTTACAAGACGTAAAAGTATATCTCTCAATGATAAAACTGTGTATAAACTTGGATTTTAATCTTGAAAATTCTTCGACCTTCAACTCAATTGTTCTGATCAATAAACTGTAATATACCTCCGATTCTAGTTTACCATTAGCTGGGAGACACAGTCCCAACTGTCTATTTGGGAATTCTTTGCCCTCTTACACAACTGTTTGCTTGTTTACAAATGAACATAAAACGCCTATGATCACCTTTACTAATTGAAGACCAAACAACTTGTTTTGGACAAATCGTCTTATGTTTAGTCACAACAAGAAAGACTATTGGAGGTTTGCATCAGTGGACGTAAATTTACCGTATCTTCGTATCTTTACCCCATCATAGGTCAAAACCCGAAAATTCACATCTCAGGAAGTGGTTTACACACCCTGCCACGAACAGTGATCATTTAACTTGAGGCAAAAGAAAGTAATTACTTAGTGCACTTTTAGTGCCTTTAGTAAAACTCCATGAAGGCGCGAAAGCGTTACGCAGTCTGAGAGGAAAGAAAATTAAGGCATGGTTGGGTTTATTGCAATAGAAATAGCTCTAAATTTGTTAAGGAGATTCAAATTCGAGATTGTTACTCCTCCCTGTCGCTTAATATATTGCGTCAATATTACGTGTATTTGGATTGATGAGTTTCCGGAGTTTCATACTTTTAAGAAACCTCAGCTACTTTTGTGCCTTCTCTGTCCATAGTTTAAACATTTGCTCATTCGAAGTCACGTCCATATTTCGACACACATATCGATATGCCAAAAGCCGTGTCCAAGTACCTCAGTGCCTGCCGATGCTCATGTTGACATAAACGGAGGGGTGCCTCTTTGTCCTACTTAATGTTCCTTTCTGTTACTCCTGTCGCTCTTGTAAATCTCCGTTTCTTGCTGTCATTTGGTTTACTCAACAATGGTCGAACTTATATCTTTGAGTTTGTGTGCTACATTTGTTTCTGGCTCACTTAATTCACTACATGGGTGGATGCGACCGGCGACCAATAGCCATAAGTTACTCTTTTCCATGTTTCTGATGATCACAGAATATGGATAAGACAAATGGGACGACATCAGTATCAAAACGCCATGACCACTATATTTATGGTATAACCAGGTGGAAGACGACAAAGTCTCAGAATGAAAAAATTTTGAACAGAAATAAAAAGAGAGATGAAGTATTAGGGTAATTATATAGAAGAGCTCAAGTTAGCAGAGACTGCTATGGCGAACAAAGTAAACACCAATGCCAAATGTTTGCACTGCTTTTAAATTCAGGAAATTATTTCGGACTACAGATCAGATATCTAGAGAACAGGTAAAAATCATCAGACATTATTTATCAAGAAGATATAAAGATACCTTGTAATATCACTGTGTTATATGAATAATTCGTTATGTAGGTCGACATCGACTGAACCAGAAATGATGGAAATAAAAAGGTTTGATATTCGCACAGGATTGTGAAAGTGATCCAGTCCGAATAACATCTGGGTTAGTGCGGAAAAGTCTGGTAGAGATGAAAATTGAATGTAATGACGTGCACCCAGATAGCTGCATACTTTATACCAGCATCTGTAGAATTGTGAAAAATCTGTCTTAACACCCGTTCCAATTACAACAAATCCCAACAAAACATTAGAAATTCATCCTCACTCCAAATTTTCGAGGCAACGGAAAGAATTTAGGCTTTTAATGGCCTCAAATATCAACTGTGACATTAGAAATTTCAGTAAATGGATGTGGAAATAAGATATTTCGGCGATGACGAAAAACACATTCCATATGGCACAAAAGAAATCTTCGGGAAACCTGGGTCTTTTAATACTGTCGACGCATCTTCGTAATGGCGAGTGATCCGGGTCTGGGGTAATAATGAGCGACATGACAACCATTTTTTAACTCATGAAATATGATGTAGTGCATAAAAATGTGACTAAACTTCCTCAAGGCAAAATCTCTCAAACTTCGTTGATTTTTTCAGACCGACACTTCTCAAATTCATCGATTGTTCAGCATAATAAAATTTTCACAGCCACGTTGATAAGGTTCATGGTTCGAAAAATCTCGGGATTATATGTGTCATATTTACTTGGAAGAAAGGACCTTGTACCGGAAACAGGACGATGAAAATCCCTCCGCAGCCTTTTGTTGGACAGCATTGTCATTTATTTGTTTTTTCTCCTCGTCGTGTATTTTAACCTTTGTTGAGATCTCGTTTAACCATACCTTTTTTTCCTTAGTCTTCCTCGCTTGGGCTTTTATTATGTGATTTTTATTAGAGACTTATCTTTTGTTATCTAATTTTTCACTGCACGTTGCCGGACTATTGGCAGCAAGGTCGTGTTTGGCTAAGCTCAAGGTAACGACGTGGTTAAGTGTGTCTCTTTCCTTTTGACTGTCTGCTTGGGAGGATTGCTGGAATTCCTGGAGATAGGTATTTCATCCCATCTTGTTGGGAATATTTTGATTGATAGTCAGGTATCAAACTCATTTTGTATTAACTGTTTCTTTTAGAAACCTAGGGTGCATTTCATTGGGTTCCATGGATTTGCCTATAAAAACCTCATCCAGCATACCAGGGACATACAGTTCTTCAAAAGTCCAGTTTGTGTGGCGGGTTTATATGAAGTGAAGAAAGCGGAATCTTTACGGTATATGCATTCATAAAGTGATTTGAGATTACCTGATCTGTACCATCATCGTCATCTTTTATTGATGCAGTACTGATGTCTCCCCATAATATCGAAATATTTCCTCTTCTTTTAGTTGTTTGGCTCATGTACAAATGTAAGCATTTAGGGCAGTCTTTAGATTCTTTGACAAGTTTTTCTTCGTACAACCTTTTAAACTTGCAGAGGGTTGGGGTCAAAATATTTAGAGCTTACCGATATTTTGATATTTGCCTCCAGACATGTGGTGTTGCTCGGGTTGACACATGCTCGTAATTGACAACCATATGGAAGTCGGAACTGGAACTTATTGATCACTTCTACCTAGGGATGGTATACAATGGAGTTTGCGGCATCACAGTGGTTCAACATGTGATCTAGTAAGCATGATTCGGAGTCTGGGTTGTATTTAGTTGCTTCTTTCACGTGTTGCTTTAGTGCACATGTGATAATCCCATCAATTTGTTTTCGTTCGAATGAACGTTTTGACGGTTCAGTCCTCAGATTTCTCCGGACTGCCGTTGAGTCATTAGTCCCCCAATATTAAACATCAACCACGTGATGATCAAGAGTTGAAACCATCTCGTTCACCTCGCAGTTTGGACTGAAGTAGATCAAATCAATTGGCATCCCTTGTCCTTTTTGTTTCAAGCGTCAACCAAATTATTCACACGTCTCACTTCCAGGGAATATGTTATCAATAACAGTTAGTGGAATACTGTTTTTAATTAATAGAGCTACTTCTGTTTTAAGCTTCTGGATTCTGTCGGCTCTCGTGAATGTGAAACCTTGAAAATCAAGTTCCCTACTGTCAACAGGCTGTGTCAGCCACGTTTCTGTGATTGCGATTACATCCGGCTTGGTAAGACCTATACGTTTACCAGTCTCCGAACTCTTGTTGAGCAAGCTCCGAACATTTGTGTGACAGATCAAAAAACAATTTAAATGGCTTTACGCTACACTCAAAGAGGCTTCGGCATCACTCGCTGTTGAAGCCCCGCCACCCTCAAATTTGTAGTGGCACTGGACCTTAACCACCCGATCCCCAATGCTTAGCACGAGACAACTGGAAAAATAGACAGTTAACATTTAACGCGGAATAAACCCAACGATGGAGACAGCGAGAAGATGAATTTAGTGGATTCGAATTAAGCAGATGGCATGGCCCAGCTTCGCAGGCGTGACTGCTCTGTAAAACGTGCTTTTATTCGTATTAAATATATTGTTCTATCTCCAGCCTGAAGGTGCTCTCCATCATATAATGGTAGTTGTTACAGTACGATGAGCCACTACAGAAAATGGTGTGACTTCCACGTAAGATCTCATAGATTAAGCAGTTACATCATGACAAATCGGCAATTTTAGAATTAAATCTATCGCTAGAGCTGTGCTAATATCATAGTAGACCACAATTCTACAAATTTGCAGTTTTCGGGCCCTTTTCGACAGCAGCTAACCTTAGTTTCAGTTCTTTATCAGCTTCCCGTCTTTTTACACGGTCCGCAAGTGTCAATTTTTCAATGCAAAACTCTGCACCATTTTTTACTAATGAGTCCATTTCATTGAAAAATTTCAATGCCACTTTTAGAAACCTGGTTTGATTCTGTTTCGATTCTATTTAGCCACTCATTCTATAAACCTCTAGTAAGGTGATTTCGGAGACATCCTGAGGCATTTGCAGGACTTGGGATAAAAGAAACTATTTTCTTTAGATTTTGTTTCTAACAGAAATCTCTATAGGCCATCCTTCCTTCTTTGGTCCTTGTCAGTTAGTTGATTGTGAGTGTATTTGAGAGAGCTCATCATTTAGTTTATCGAACTAGCAAGTACCATTTGACGTAGCTCAATTGAGCTTTCTGATACCCCTTTTAAAAGCACTCACTATTGTAATGGCTTTAGATACCAAGCTGTTTGTGTCCGAGCAGCACTACTGACACAAATACAGGCAGATATTTCTGCTTAGTCGTTTGAAAAACACAGGCGTTCAGTTCGTTCAAACTCGTGGTACCATCCTTTGGAGTCATATAATGTGTAGAATCCAAACTACGGTTTGGATGTTGAAGAATAACCGTCCAGGTACGTTAGACACGCGCCCTTGCCCGTCGAAATCAAAACAAGTAAGTGGGTAAATAGCGTTTCTATAATTCATCATAAATTTAAATGTAAATCGTTACCTAAACAAATATTACCACCCGGCTATTCAACCAATAGTTGTTCAATCAATAAATTCTAAATTACAGTGAATAAAGTTGATAAAAGATAAGGGAAAATTACCAGTCACAACAAATGAACGTTATTCTATCCTGACTGGATAGAACACACAAAAGGAGGAGCAAATCAATATGGCTACCGCCAAGAACAAGTGTCAAGTAAAACAACACAGATGCAGTTCGGGAAGAAACACAAACTTAGTGAATGCGTAAGAAAAACAAAAACAATAATAAAAAATACAAGTATTAACAATTCAAGTGTGATCAAAAGACAACAATGTACAACTAAGGGGATCAATAGGAACAAAGTGCAAGTATATAGATGGAGGGATTTTCACCAACATACAAAGCATTCAAAATGGATCTTACATAATGAACTTCACTGTCCATAGAGTATCGACAGCTTTGGCGTTGGCAAGTGCTTTTTGCACTATTCGGCAACCAACGAGACCTTTCAACAAAACTAGACACAAACAATACCCAGAGACGTGAGAAACTGATGGTCATAAAGAGTAAAAAGTTGTCAGAATCAAAAGTGCGAACATATACAAAACATCCTTGCACTGAAAAGGAGATGTGATAAATTACTTTTTAAAAAACGTGATGATTAATTTAGTTAACATAAACTCGGTTAAATCGAAAACAGTAGTCTTGAGTCGTAATGAATTACCAAAACAATAGAAATAAACTCAACGAAGGAAAACACCACTATCCTTTTTAAATAGTGCGTGTAGCGTTTCGTCATCAGCGTTTCTAGACGTTGTAAACTATTTTGCAACGGCTTTGAGTTTAACGAACAGACAACTTTTCTCTGACATAAACGTCCCCTTCATTATACATATCAATTTCACCATTTTAAACGTCACTACTCACTATTCCGTATTACTATACTTTATCTGAAAACTCGTTAAACACAACACAACAATAGCAACTTATATGAGATCTTTTTACCGGCTAGGCTTGTTGTTGATTGATACACTGAAGAAGTTTCTACATCGTTGAGGATTATGTCGATTTACCCTGCTCTCCATCCTGAACATCCATAGTTTTGTATCCGTAAATACGTCATCAAAATAAGTAGTTCTGTGAGTCTTCGACAGGGATGCTGGCCTCATCAGTTTTACTGGGCAAACCTAGCTGGAGGCTCTCTGTAATGCATCTACACCAGATCACGAGTGGGTATGTTGCTCTACGCACCCATTGCAGCTGCTAACCAGCTTAGATTAGACGCTTCTTGATATATAAATAGGTTCCAAAATATATATTTAAACCTCCTCATTTCTGAATTCTGAGTCGAATGGGTTGGCGAACTTAGATTATGAAAGTGTTGCATGTAAATGCATTGTCAAAATCCGAATACCTATACATCATTAGTTTCATGATTTCTACTAGTTGGTGCTACCAGGTCATTCATTATCACTAGGTATTGATACATAGATATATCTGCATATTTCTATTGTAGTAAAAACACTACAATTGCGTCTCACATGACACAATTTTTAGAAGTTTCAGCTAATTATCTTGCCAGGTTCAAGGTCACAAAAAAGTCCTGGCAAGTATTTGAAGCTGGCGGAGCTTTTGAGTGTTCTTTAAGACTGCATGTTGTTGGGCTGTACAATTACATTAAGTTGGCGGTCCAGAATGCAGCCAACTGAATTTAAACCGTAGTAAATGTAGTTGCTTTTCTTATGAATTGCCTGTGGTCCATCCACTTGCGTCGAGTGGCAACACGACTTCGAAATATGTTAATAACCAATGTGGCCATTTTTTGTGTTTTGGGGAAATTTTTGCGAAGCCGATATAGAAAACTGTAAGGAAATGGCACAAAACCTCAGAAGTTTCGGCAGCTTTTGAGAAACCCATTTGCGTTCTGTGATCAGACCCAAATGATTTTTTGGCATGTTAATTGCATTCTGACGATTTCGGGTTATCCCCAATACTGCATTCAGAAAACCACAAGATCGCCAGTTGTGCAAGAAACCCAATCGACTTAGTAACAAGTACCCAAAAGTTACAACTCATCTTACCCATCTTTTTCAGTTAAGTTCTCAAAGTGAACGTAGTTCTAAACCAGTTAAACCATAGTTGGTAACAAGAGTCGGTCTGTCGCGATAGATAAGCATTGCCGTGATTAGAAAAACTGAAATTTTTATTAAGATTCAAAAAGAGTACAAATTGTCTATTAATGAATAACGTCTCCGAATTCTTAGCAATTGCTAATGCGTTCAGATTGATTACATTAGGTTGATGTCGAACTTTCATTCACAGTGTTCTTCAAAAAATTACTCTTCTGCATCACAAACCCAGTATCGAAACAGCCAAATCGCTAATGGTAGACTAACGATTGCCCTATATCATACCAATTATTCACGCGACTATTGTAACTAATGGTTGGAGACTCTGGGTAACATGGCTCATAATCGATCACAACCGCTTAGGTATACACACTCTCTGTCTTCCCTTAAACTGTGAGATTAAAATTGCTATATACCCTTCTTTCTACCAACTAGTTCTTTCTTTCTGTACTATATGCTTATACACAATCTTTCCTTTATATATTACTACCATTGAAGTGACTACTTCTATGAATTCGGTGTTCATCTTGTGCTAATGAAGTGTGGCAACACTTGCGAAGCCAGCTAAAAATATATGGATAAGGAATGATTATTTCAGTATAAATGTTTACCAAGTCTCCAGATTTGGTATTTACCTTGTTGTTTTGTTATCAGTATTCACAAGAAAATGAATGATATATCAGCTAAAACATCTCATCAGTTTTACATCTTTTTTCTTCTGACTCACGTGGTTGTATTTTTCATTTCCAGATTCATTTCTTAAAGGTTTGCCATGTCATATGCTTCAGCGGTCGATATTTCAAAAGTTTCTGACCCATCGTTTGATCAGGGTGCTCATGAAAATATATTCGCTCTAGACATCGGTGGTTCACTTGCGAAATTAGTATACAAACGCGTCTTCCGGTATAGACGTTCTATACCCCAGCAATGTCGTAAAAGTGTCAGTGAAAATGAAATACCTTTTGACTTTTATGAGTACACAGAACACGAAGACGAAGGACAAAAACTATGTTTCATGAAATTTGAAACTAAGAACATAGAAGAATGTTTGGATTTCATTCTTTTTAACATAACACATCAAGGTGCTTTATCCAAAAAAACAATTAATAAGATCAAGGTTACTGGTGGGGGTGCTTATCGCTATCGTGAACTAATTTGTTCGAAGTTGGGAGTTGAATTGGATAAAGAAGATGAAATGGATTGTCTTGTAAGAGGATGTGTATTTATGCTTCGAAACATCCCAGATGAGTTATTTTATTATGACAAACATGCTACTCCAGCTCACGTCTTTGTTCCAAATTGCTTGGTGAGTACGTTCCCTTTCCTTTTGGTCAATGTTGGGTCTGGCGTTAGTTTCTTGAAAGTTAAAAGTCCCACGTCTTACCAAAGGGTTGGTGGAACGTCTATTGGGGGTGGCACTTTTTGGGGTTTAGGAACGCTGTTATCTGGAGGTAAGACTATATCATGAACTGGTACTCTTCACTTTTTGAAGCATATCTCTTTCACAGTAATCAATAAAACGTTAGTTAAATCACTTCGAATTAAAGCTTTAGTTTTGCTAGTTTTTGCATGAAGTAAAGCCAAGTCATCATCTACAGTCTGATTTAGTTTCAATGGCATCATTAATGTCCTAAAAAAACTTGTGCAATTTCCTGAACAGTTAAATTTTCCATATTATTAAAGTCATGACATCGATGCCCTTATATGTATGTAGTGAATACGATAAAGACTACTACTGGTTGTTTTGTCTGAAATTCATTGTGGGCGCGATAACTTTTTTCCTGTGTTACTGTCGTGTTCTGCTAGTAATTTTGATAACTTTAATACTATAGGGAAGTTTACTTTCGATGAGCTTCTGGAAATGGCGGATTCCGGTGACCACCGCAATGTTGACATGTTGGTACGCGATATATATGGAGGTGCGTATGAAACACTTGGACTTTCTGGGATGTAATTGCGAGCTCATTTGGTTTAGCCGCCCGTCATCCAGAACAACCTCGTGTGTTAGGTGATATGGTGAAGTCCCTACTAATTACGGTTAGCAAGTAAGTGTTCAGTATTTCTCTCGCTTATCTTACAGCTAATAAATCCCGTGTTATATCCTGTAAACTTTAACAGTAAAGGCGTTAGTAATGACTTCCAATCATACATCATTCTGTCTATTGATCAGATATAATATCTTATTACTATATCATATGGCATGATCTTTTGATATATGGTATTTTTTATCATGGAAAAATTTTCTCCAATCTTAACAACTGAAACTGAAGGTATCTTCAAAATCAGTAGTAGTTTCTGCTATCGATTTATTTTTCACAAGAACAAAAATAATTACTGATACGTTCTTTAGACTACCGCTTAGTCGGTCACTGGTATATACTTAAATGTGTGAAAACTCGGACCCCATCAATATCTTTTTTTCTGTTTTTACATTTTTATATGTTCTCATAATTAGAATCTGCTCGAACAACGAGCAGCTGTGAAAACAGGATTTAAGGACGACAGATTTTGATTTGTAATAATAATCCTTTTTTAAAGTTTATCACTCATAGGATGATCAATTACTCGAAATTGAATCATAAAGTCTCCCGACATCATTTTGTGGTAATGAATTTTCGGTTTTTTACGCTATATGAATAGTTGCATAAGTTGCGATGTATCAATTCATTTCTCGACCGCCATATTTTTTTACGCGTTCATAAAATTATGTATATATCATGAGAGGTTTATTGTATGATTCACTTTTGCTTTATAAAGGTTTTTTATCTAATTGCCGCTTTATTTGTGAAAATTAGCATCAAACTTGAATTATCAACGTAGGTATTCATCTACTGCATTGATCTGATTCGTAATTTTGTGGTTACTGGTTTTTTTTAACTTATAAAATTATATGCGTGTCTGTCAACTTTCGTTTGCATCAATACGTTGTAATATCAGTCAGTCAATCAGCTACAACATAGGACCAGGCACATATATACATCGGTTCAAGTTGCCACACCTCATTAGCACAAGATGAACACCGAATTCATAGAAGTAGTCACTTCAATGGTAGTAATATATAAAGGAAAGATTGTGTATAAGCATATAGTACAGGAAGAAAGAACTAGTTGGTAGAAAGAAGGGTATATAGCAATTTTAATCTCACAGTTTAAGGGAAGACAGAGAGTGTGTATACCTAAGCGGTTGTGATCGATTATGAGTCATGTCACACAAAGTCTCCAACCATTGGTTACTATAGTCGCGCGGACTCCAACCAAGTAGTTCGCATCTACTAACATGGCTAAAACTAAAAGTTAGTGACCTAAAGCACTGATGCCACGTTTTCGTTTGTCCGCTCTTAATTTTCTTCCAACCATCCCCAACACTAGTCAGCATTGCACTTCGTGGTAATCGGTGTTCAGGCATACTCAACACATGGCCCAACCATCTCAGTCAATGAAGATATACCTCATCAACTGATTTTATATAATCCCCTAATCCTCTGTGTCTAATCTAACTATTAATTACCCAGTGATCCCAGAAGATGTTAGAAATATTTAAAAGATATTTGTGGTCAAATACTAGTATCTTATAAGTATCTTCTACTCTTAATGGTCACGTTTCGTATCTGTAAAGTAAAACAGAACGAACTGCTGTGTATTATGTTCGTCGTTTTATTGATAGACGAATATGTCGCCCTTGCCTTAGGTGACATAAGTTGACAAAAGCTAAACGAGTTTTCGGAATCCGTGCTGAGATTTCGTCAGACAACAACCCATTAGGGATGATCACACTTCCAAGATAAGTAAAGCTATCGACCCGTTCGACTACTTCACTCCCTATCTTTAGTTGACGCAGGTCAGTTCTGGAGCAGCAACTTGCATTTAGAGGGAGAGAAACGCGTCCCAAACGTCCTGGCATTGATGTTCAGTGCTACCAAAACACTGTATGTTATCAGCGTCCTCGCCAAACAGGACTATATCATCTGCATATTCCAATTCGATAAGTGGACCTTCTGGTAGGAGATCAATGTCTGAAAATTTAGTCGACGAGAGTGTTATTTCCATCAGTAGGTCTATGATGAAATTGAACAAAAATGGAGATAGTGGACAGCCTTGACAGAAACCACTAGAGGTTGAGTTCGCCATAAGCTCTGACACGACTAGTAGTGCTCGAGTAAAGAGTCTTCACAAGGTTTATGTACTTCTGAGGTACGCCTTTCAATGACAGACATTGCCACAGAACCTCTCGGTCTACAGAGTCGAATGCCGCTTTTAAGTCAAGAAAGACCACCATTGTCGGACGTCGATAAGTGTGCCTGTGTTCTAGAACCTGACGAATGGTGAGTATGCGGTCGATGCAGCCACGACCAGGTCTGAAGTCAACCTGATTTTCTCGCGTTCATAGTTCATAATTCTTTGTTAGGCGCTCCATAATTATTGAAGCTAGTATTTTAGTCAAAATAATCCCTCTATGGTTATCGCAGGATGATTTTGACCCCTTCTTATATATTGGGACAATCAGTGATTGCGACCAGTCAGATGGAATTAGGTCCAACTCCCAAATTTTAGTTAAAATATTAGTCAGCCTAATCGCTAAAATTGGACCATCATCCTTAAAGACCTCTGGAGCCAATCCATTTGGACCAGCTGCTCTTCCTTGTTTCGGATTAGCTATAGCCTTTTGAACTTCAGGTAGAGTCGTGGGACCTACTTCAATGTTCCATTCAGGCGGTCTGGGAATGATGAGTGGTTGTAGAATAGCTGAACTTCACCCCAAAGTGTTCCGTCCATCGTTCTAAACGTCTGAACTAGGAGCAGATAAGAGTGTCGTCTTTTTCCGAGATAGTCTCACTTACACTTGACTTCTTAATTCCAGTTTCTTTTATTAGTTCCCAAAGCTGTCTTGTGTTACCTGCAGCCGCCGCCCTTTCCATCTCTTGCTTCCGTTGCTCACCACTGCTCACGGTCGTTCCTTAGACTTTTGGTTAACCTAGACCTGATGTGTAGGTATCATTACCAAGGTTTGACTTCATACTTCCGAATAAATTGAGCATTGGGTAGATTTTTATGAATAAAAAGTAATATATTGGTAATATTCTAATTAGTAGAAAAATTAGGTTTTCTGACGTTTAGTGACTTAGTGTAAGCCACTTCTTCAGAGAATAAATAAATAACCAAATCAAAATTAATCCAAGTATAAATAGTGTAAACAAAACAACAAAAATATCATGAGATGGAGTTGTCAAGATAAATATCGAATCAATAGAAATGGTAGTAATGATAATAAAACAGAATAAACACAGAATATGATATAGTGAGAAAGAATGGAGTTGTAGGATAGCAGTATTGAACAGTTTTAAAACTCAGGATGTGGGACTAGAAAAATGCGTCCGCCTTACTGCAACCATTTTTGAAACTTTTCATTGTCTCCGACTATCAGTTACAATACCCATAAGTACCTTGACCGAGTAGCCTGCACCTACTGTTTCTTGTTTTAGCCATTCCTACCTCTCTTTCTATCTACTTCGATGCCAACCAACATTGTGCGTTAACATAGACAGTGGTTGAGTATGTGCAGTATGTGTCCCAGCCACGTGAGTCGATAGAGACACATCTTCACCAACCGATTTGCTATATTTTACCAGTGTCCTGAGTCTAACCTTACCGTTGCTTTTTCAGTGGTCTCACGATAGACAGGCTATGTTTCAGTAAGATATGTAATCATATACTAGTGATTTTCGAGTATGTTTCAGATTGGTTCATCTGTAATTATCACAAAGAGATTTATGCCCTTTCTTATAACTCGGATCAGTTAATGATGGAGACCATTCATATGAGATTATGTCCAGCTCCTAAGCTCTACCATTTTATGAAGCTACAGATTATTAAATATACTTAAATATCGGATTCAGTATTGTATTGTTTATCGACGTAGATTATTTAGTAGGGAGCTGTCCTCCATCTTGGTTTACATAATAAGTCATCCAGTTCTAAGATGATTCTAACGGTAAACTGATTGTAAACGGAAAACTATCATGATCCAGAGAGCCATGGACAGTGGTTTCATATCTCTTCTTAACCCACCAACTTCACTTATTTCTGATTCCATGAAGAATGAAATCCTCCCCACATAAAACTATGTTATATATATATGTATACTAACATCATTATTTTTCTTGATTAATATTTACAGTAATATAGGTCAATTGGCTTGTCTATATGCTAAACAGCATAGCCTCACACGAATTATTTTTGGGGGATATTTTATTCGGGGACATGGGTTAACAATGGAAGTAAGCATTTTCCTTTGGGGATGAAAATTACACTTTTATTATCATATGTTCTCGTTAATGAAGCTATCAACCTCCTAGTATACATCCCACTCCTTGGAGTACATCTAGATTGTCATAGTCACAAACAAAATAGAGCATGGCGTAAATGTGAGTGTCCAAATCCCCACCATTTACACGAACACAATACGATGAAATTAATATGACAAAGTAAACGAGTAGAAATTATAATTTTAACGGGATTGATAAGCTAAATATGATGGATACCGCTCGAAAAAAATGAAAAGTATATGATAATATCGAAACTTAAGATTCAGAAGAAGACTAACAATAAATTCATCCACGTCTCTGACCGACCCCATTCCACGTTGACCAATATCTTTCACGATAGATTATAATTGCCTACTAGATCTCGGTCAGGAAAATGAACACATCCCAACATAGCTTATTCCCACCGTCAGTAATTTGATTTACTGCTGCCATGTCATGATTTGGGAACAAATAACACTTTCCCAACATGCCCTTTCCCTAACTAGCATGAAGTATCAGAGTAGATGGTAACTGCGGTAAGAAAACACTATTTTGTTTGGAAATATAGGGATGAGTACATTTGTTTACAGTATTTGTAATTACAGTTTAGTGATTAGATTATGATGATCCAAATACCGGAAAAATGCCTTTCTCATTTTCAAAGGAGAAAGTATATCGAAGTCCTCAAAGTCCGGACTCCACCGTACTTATGAGATTTTAATGTCAAATTATGTTTTGGGGTTATAAGATGAGAAACACAAGTAAATGCTAGTATTTGGTCATCTTTGAGAATTATTATTCCGTAAATAATAAATTTATTTTTCTGGATGATAATTATTATCCATTTGGTTTGGATTTAATCAAATCTGATACTGAAAGTCAATAATGTTTTCATGCTTTGTTTTACTGCCACTGCGATCACGCTCTGTATGCTGTAAAAAGTTAGTAAATCGTGTAAAACGCTTCATACTATCACTAGAATCAAGGGAATTTATCATATTCCTTGGAGTTCACTAATTCTATCCATTTAGCTTCATCGTTGACATTCTCAATTTAATGTTTCTGTCGAATTTCATTTAAAGTTATTATGAACTGTGTAATGTTATTCTGCTTTACCTTGTAAATGTTGATCTAACGCATTAACTTTCATGCTTTTTGTCTATTCAGGTAATTACTTATGCCGTTCGGTTTTGGTCAGGCGGAGAATACAAAGCCTTATTTTTACGGCATGAAGGGTATTTAGGGGCAGTAGGTGCATTTCTGAAAACTTGTAAGAATAATAATTCAACGGAACGAAAAGCACTTTGGTCTGAGAACTATGTAGTTAGCTCGAGTAATACTCCTTTCTCTGATAATCCGTTTGAATCAAAACCATATGCGACCAATCACAGTAAAGATGAAACTGATTTCAGTAAAGTTCCTCCCCATGATCTGTCAATTGTGAATTCCTCAGTTGGTAAAATACCGAATCCAAAACGCTTAATAATCGCTCAAAAAGCAGAAGAAAGCAAGTCTACTTTAAAGAGTTCTTCAAAGTCCACGTCACAGAAACACGAAATTTCGAAACTGCCTAACTTTGAACTCGATCGTGTATTTACGCATTCTCTAGAAATGTTTCATTTACTAGAGTCACCCGCAAATTATTCACCTGATACATGGGATCTAACTCACGATGAAGAAGCCAGGATTTATTGGTTAGGTTGTTTCGAAGTAAGTAGTATTAAATAGATCTAAGTGGAGTTTTGTTCTCTGAGCTGGATGGTTTGGTCGTGGATCTTCGATTGTTAATCCGAATAAAATCATCAGCACAAACTTCAGATAGAAGTAAAGTGCTCGATTAGTGGTTAAACGCCATGGCGTCTCATATAAATGTATGTGGACAACTGTGGACATACATTCAAGTAAAAAATGTTGAAATCTTGGATGGACGGAATACCAAAAGCACCAGAGAATTTTTAGAACCTTGATACTTAAATCAATCAGCAAACATATTGAAATCAATTCAATCTATCAATCAATCAGAAAAATAATAGACAAATATAGGACCGGAAATCGAATCAGTGGAAGATACAATCAAAATAAAGAAGTAGTCAATAACAAGTTAAAGTTCAACAATAACCAATCAACATCGAGATCTACAGAACAAACTGTGAGTTATACGTGGAGAAATTCTAACATTTCACTTCTACCTGAAGTTTGTGTTGATGATATTGTTTAGAAGAATAATGAATGTTCCTCGACAAAGCCATCTAGCTCAGAAAAATTTCTTCGAATTGAACAAAACTATAAAATAATTTTCCAACTCATTTTGATTTTGATGGTAATTTCATTTGCTTTATTTTTTAAATTCATATACATTTTAGTAGAACTGAACACTTAAAGTATTATAAAATGCATAAATAAGAAAATATTATATTTAATAAATTAACTAGGTAGAATGGAGGTACACTCAGTAAAAGCCTAATAGGATTCAATAAAAATAGTGTATGACATAAGGTACAGTTCAATTAAGACTACAACTAAGAAAAAACTACTTTTCATTGAAGTATTCATAAAATCGATTATTCAGCGAGTTGAAATCCTTTTTTGCTAAGAAACAACTTTCAAAAGAAATAGGTTGTTAAATGAACTAGAAAATATAAAATTGAAATGAAATGAAGTAGAAAGTTGAAGCAGCGTAAAATTAGTTCACTTATTCTGCAGTCCTTGTGAATATTGTTTGAATAGGTAGCACAATGAGTAAATCAGTTCCTTCATTATTTTTCATTTACATATGTCAATAGTATGATGTTGTGTATGGAATGTGAACAGCTTTGATTGCCATTGTCTAAAAATCGTCATCCATGGATTTTTTTTCAGAGTATTTATTTACTCAATATGATACTAAGCCTTTATGAACTAATATTAAATTAGTAAAAAAGACTAACGTTTACTGCAATTGACCTATAACATGTTGCGTTTCCCACTTTACCCCAACAACACTAATTCCCATGAACTGGCTACGATAAATAATAACGTCCACGGATAATTCTACTGTGCACGTTAAAAGTCACCTGACGTACTTTCGGTCATATTTTAATCTAAAGATTCACTTCTGTACATTAATTCCAAGACAACAACAAGCCATAAATACGAACTCTCAGTCTGTATAAAACTAGATCATTTATGGCACAGTACTGAATAACAGGTATCATTTTTATTGATATCACAAACCGATATAAGTTAAACAGCCATTGAGAACCTGAAAGCATTGAGCAACCATTTCGTTGTAGTGTGGGACTGTTCAAAAATTGGCATTTGCGACCCCGTAACCGAAAACTAAACCCAGGACCTTTGGTCTTGTATGCAAACACTTAGCCTTTAGACAAGTAAGCTGCAATCTAATGGCGTAGAAGCTTAACTTCGATCAATACACTATCGAATTTGTTAACTTTTCTAGATAATGCAGTAAGAAAACGGAGTTTATCGAAACTATTTCATAATTTAGGGCCGTATATTTTGAGAAAGTGGACTACACATTTACTTGTTAAAACATTCAAGCATTAATAAAAACAAGGATTGCCCCCAAATACCCTGGTACGGCCGAGGGTGGAAAGAGTTTTTTCCTCCTCTCGGAATGCTCTCGCATGGCCACGCGTATACAGCCACTGCCGGGGAAGTTCTACTCACTGCCTTCTCGGGGCGGGGGTGTTGTTTACAAAATTGAGAGGACGAAAAGCGAATTCCCAGCGCTTTAACTGGGTTGGAAAACACTGCGGGTTCACCTGAGGGAGTTGGAAAGCCCCGATTCCAAACCAATGGTGCACATGGGCTCCAGTATCCTGAAGGAACAAATGGCGTGTGAACCAATTGTTGGTCATCGGCTAACATGGGACTGCATCTCCTGACGTTGCTCCACTACCTTGTGTATCAAACCTTTAGGTCGAAGGCTCCGGGCGTGACCCCCTTAGAAAAACACCTGCTTCGGTTTGAGCACCCGGGCAGTATCATAGCCCACACACAAATTAAGTGACTTGTGTGGTGCATACGGATTCGGCGCTATTTGTACCAATATTTATGTGTTCAAAGAAAAACAAGGATCAAATCAGGCTGATTTATGAGACGAAAATGATCCAAAATGGTATGATTCATACTGTTTTATACCGATTGTCTTTGTTTTTCTCTTAGATTTGTTTAGTATGACCTATTTTTCACATATAAATGTGTTAACAAGTTAATATGTGATCACATTATTCCAAATATATTGTGCTCATACATCACATTGCTCTGATAAATTTTATCGTCTTATGGCATTGATCAGGGCGATTGATTATTTTTACTGTAAGTTATGAACAGTAAAAGACAAACCAACAAATAATGAGTTAAATGAGAACTCATTGCTGAAGCAGTATAAAAATACCATAAACGATTTTTTTTACGCATGCACACTATACATACGTATTGGGTCGTCTTATAATAGTTTTCGGAGCTTTGGATTTTTAATTTGTTTGCACATTTCCAACAAAACAGATGATTTATCTCCAGATTTGTGATACAACTTGAGAGTCAAAAATCTAATATACTTTGATATCAATGTATATCATGAAATTTATTTGTCCTTCGCTTTATTTATTACTGAAAAATGTATTTCTCACTCACTAAATCAGTTGAACTGTAAGAACTTCTTCATTTTATCAGTGATTTAAAGAAGAATGAATAAACGTTTTAAATTGTCATGGTTAGCAATTTCTATTAACCAAAATATAAATTCCAGAGTGATTACTTTCATGAGTCATCTGTAAGTGAATTTCAAACATGTCAATGGAAAGGGAATGGATTTTAAGTGTATGTTTCCTAGTCCAATCGTTTACTAATGCTAGTCGGCTTCTGTTTTTATTTCCTAATTTCTCAGTTTTCTTGGTCTAAAATGTCTCAATAAATCTTGTTTGAAATTAATGTCTGGTAATTGTTAAGTAACCAAGTTATAGAAAACATTTTATTAGTAAAACGTAACGTTTTTTTATCAATTACGTCACACAATACATTCTTTTATTGCAATATTCAATATCACTCAGCTTCAATAATTATCTAATGTAATTTATTTGATTTCTGTATATTCCAGAGCTGTATAGAATATCACAGAGCAAAAGCTGAAGAAAGTCAATCTGACACATTATCAGATGCCTCTGACCGTTCACATCAGTTCGCTGAACGATATAAACGATTCCTACGTGAATTGAGTGCTGATCCAAGTGGTCGTGGAGTGCTCACTGTAAGATGCCTTTTATCCGCTCAACAGCATTTCTTACGTGAATATGGATTTGGAGATGTCTTTTGTTTACAGAAAAGAGTAAGCAGAAAATTTTAATAAGATGTAAGAAAACTCGTTAACATAGTGGCTTCGTTACTCGTCTTTCAATCATTGACTACCATTGTCCACTGTCAAACACTAATATGTTTCTCACCGTCTGACTCATAGACATGTAATTTGGCTGTTCAGTTGCGTTAAACATTTCTGATTCTTCATATATAATAAAATATTCATCTTATAATATTAAAAGGACATTAAAAGGTATCTATTTAATGTGTTATAAATTTTATTTTATCATAAATAGTTCTTTTTTGTTTTGTTTTGAAAGTTTGAAAATCGAGGTGCTCTTTCTGCTCTTATGGATCGATTAAGTGAACTTTCTAAATTGGATTGGTCTAATCGTCAACTGTCTTTGATTGAAGGTCTTTTGGCTGGTAATATGTTTGATTGGGGTGCAGCTGAGGCAATTCAATTCCTAAAGGAAGCTCCAAAGAATAAATTTGGTGCCGCTGACTTCCATGTTATATTAGATAAAGTTCAGGTGGGTTGAAGTCTTTGTACAAAAGAGTTGTTTGAGAGAACAAACGGCTAAAATTTTCACTACTGAGTTATAAGTTTTATTCTCATCTCGCTGAATTTATCTTAAAAAGCCGCGCACTATGTTCAGTCTTGACAGGTTTACTTCGAAATCTTGCTTATAAACCTATTTCTGTTTACAAGGTTGTCTCTCAGTGCAAAACATCTTTAAATTGTTCGCTTTAAATACGCTTTTGATAATACTTATTTTTCATGAACATCGCCACCTTACTTATAGGTATAACTCGATAAAGTTATGCTCATATACAAGTAAATTTCTATTATTTATATCTTTTTTAATTATATTGTTTTTTTATGGAATTATTCATTATTACCAGATATTTATATTTTTTTCTTATAGTCTAGACCTTGGTTAGTTGACAATTATGATAATTGGATTGATCGAATCAGCGTGTCCGGATCCCCTTATCGTTGTATTTTAATTTTCTGCGATAATAGTGGTGCAGATATTATACTTGGTGTACTACCATTTGCTATGGAATTTCTAAATCGTGGATGTAAAGTAATAATGGCGGCTAATTCAAGTAAACAGGATTTAATAAATTAGTAGACTTTGATTCGTGATGTTGTCTAGTTATTGTTTAATTATACTCAATTGTTTAAACTATCATCTGTCCACGTTTAATTGTTAGAGGATAGTAGAAATTGAGTAATTACATAATCTAGGCTCTTTTTCTACACGTCTTCCGATCTCCATATGTTTACTTTAAGTAGTGAAACTTTAAAATGCTTTTGGCCATTTCCTGTCACTTTTTTGAGTTGATCAATTTTCAGCATATTACTTATTCTGACTAGATGTTTCTGCGTTCTATTAAGTGGACTTTTGAAAGAGACTATCTCTGTTATGAATTTAAGTTGTTGGTTGATTTTTACCCTGTGCTAATTGTTGTGTCCTTGACTGGAAAATTAGAGAGCAGCGTACTTATCGATCGATTCAATGACACGTAAACACGTACGGACGGCCTAGAGTCTCTATTGGTCTCGCTTCCCTGTCTAGCCCAGTCAGTTGAGTCCAGAACACAAGTCACAGCCTCGGAGATATGAATCACTATATTTCAAACATACTTTGTTTATATACCAATCAAGCATACCACATCGTACCATAAAATAGAAAACAACATTTTGTACAATATTTAACAAGTGAACAGATATCGACCAATAGGAAATGTCCATTCAAAGTCCAAGGACACCATTGAACTTAACATGATAATTATTGGTCTATTCCTCCGCATCCACAACAATTTCCTGTTGGGTGAAATCTTGAAAGTCGTGGTGTTAGTAGTAAACCGTATGATACAATTATGGATATGGTTGTGTTCAGTGAATAACTTAAATCTTACTAACAATGACCAACCACAATTATTTTATACTAACGAGTTTTTAGTTGTTTATTTTTTGTCAGAGTGGATCATAAATGCATTAGAGTAAATGCACGTAATTCAAAGCATAAAACCCCTATAGTAACTTATTTAGCATATATATATTTTGCGACAAAATTGTCATAAAGTAAAAAGGACTAGTACAAAGCAATTGTAATTAACACTTGTCAATGTATTTCTGTTACTTAATTTTCCGTTGTTTTGGGTAAAACTTTAAATTAGGTAACAATAAGATGTCTTAGATTGGGGCATACTCATCAGGGCGAGAGTGAAAATAGAATTATAAGCCATACTAGGTCCAGGAAATATAACAAAATCCACTGACAAAAATAAAGTTTTCAGCAATTAAGTCTGTAGAACAGTAGATAAATGGAAAAATTTTGGTGCTTTTTTACGTTGACGATCACCTTTCTTTTACAATAGTTCCATGAATAAAGTATTCGATTTTCGGCTACTTGATTAAAGGTTCTAATTCTATTCTTTTTATTTAGACTTAGATAACTAGTTTGTAGCATTATTCCTATTACTTAGCTCAATGTCAAGTATACAAATCTGTACGTTGTTGATGAGTTAATAATAATAATAATGATCATAATGTTTATGTCTTACCTCTTTTGAGTAAGGATAGCATTTCACTTTGTTTAGCTACTTTTAAGAAAATCTTTATTGAAATTTACTTTTTATCAAGTTTTTGCATAAATTGTGTATATTTCAATGTTTTATTGTTTATATAAGTGTTTTTCTTTGTCTAGGTCCTGCTATCAATGATATAACTTATCAAGAATTGGAACTACTCCTACACATGATAGCATCTTTTGAGCCTTTAATAGCTGAATCTCTTAATAATGGACAACTTATGTTATCTGAAAATGGTCAAACTTCACCTTGTCTAGATTTTCGTCTAATTGCTAGCTCGTTAGTTCAGTTGGCAGAACGTGAACAGGTAAAATTATATATATATATATGGTTATTTTTCCCCGTTAATCCTCTATCATTTGCTCAGTATATGAAGGTTTCGAAAATTTAAATGCATCAAACTTTATTTTAATCTGAATAGATCATTCCATAGTTGTTTTTCGCTGTTGTTCAGTAGTAATTTGTAGTAAATAATTCTCAAATTTTTAATTCTATGTTAAAAAAGAATATAATTTTGTTGATTCACTAGTCCGTTGGAATTACTGACAATTTCTGGCATTATGTATTATGTTATATCATACCGACTCGAATCGTACTCATCTCTGTTAGCATCAAATCTTATAATCTCACTGCATATCTGTTTGTGTTTTCTTCTCCATTCTCTGCTCGGAGGACATATATGAGTTCACATTATCGAACGTCCTGTAATCATGTTCATATGAAATCGTAATTTGAGACTCTGAAAGTGTTCAGTATTTGTAAAATATAATTATGTGCTCAATGTTTATTATATAGGTCGACTTGATTGTCATTGAAGGTATGGGTCGAGCGATTCATTGTAATTTAAATGCAAAATTCACCGTGGATGCACTCAAAATAGCTGTGATTAAAAATTCTTGGCTTGCCCGAAGGTTAGGCGGTCAGCTGTATGGTGTGATATTTAAATTTGAACCTGTTTCACAGTCAAGATAATAATCTGAAAATTATGTAAATTGTTGTTGTATCAAGAGAGTTGTTAACATTAATTAATTGATTCCATATAGTATTAAAAATGTATCTAGCTCAGTTGTTGAACATTACCTTCATTTCTTATATTCCTTGCTTCTTGTTACTGTAAATCATGCCATACACTACTACTTACTTATTGTTAAATATTTCTTCCGGAACATTCCTTCACAAATATTTGACATCTAACTAAGTTTTTTTTGCAAATTACTATCAAAGTATACACTAGTTGCTTTCTATTCATCTTTATTATTATTATTATTATTTCTATATAGTTGTAATACTGTTACATGAAAACATTTCAGATTAATCAAATATTGGCTGTAAAATTATTTGATTTCTTTGTGATGTATTCTGTTAGTAATAATTATTTGATGATTGATAATGTGTTTCAATCTTATCTTTGTTACCATGGTTGTTATCTTTGATATCGTCATCATTGTTTACCATCGACTTTTCTCGTGTGTTTTTTCTCATTGTAATAGTTATATTTTTCTCTTCCAACTTTGTATAGATTTGCTATCCTTTAATATTAGACTAGGGATTAAATGTATTTCTTAATTAACATGTAAACATTCTGTACAAAACTCATTATTCAGTATAATTTCAGTATATTTCAAAATTTCTAGTCTTTTCACTATTTTTAAAATACAATCTACTTTCAATGTTTTTAAGTAGTCTTTCTACTAGTGATATTCTTTCTTTATTACGCATCCAATTAATTGTGTCTTCTTTTTTTATATATATTATTCTCATCTAGTCCTATTATTAATCATCTAAAAAAGGATTTTAGTTCGTTTAGTAACTAAATTTTAAAAAAAATGAACGTCAATTAAGTTGTGTTCTGTGAATTTGTTCACTTAGTTACTGTGTCAATTTATTTTCAAGCAATTCCTTTTTTTTTTGTTAATTGAGAAGGGAAAATTGACGTTTGTCCCTTTTTTTAATAACAAAACATTTATCGCATAAAGTAGCCATTTTTTAAAAAAAGCAACGTATCATTATTTAAATTATCAGTATTTGTAAAATGTATCAATGATGTTCTTAATTTCAAATACACTTTGGATAATATGTTTTTTTTCCTCGACATTGCCTTACGTCACAACCATTATAAAGAGAGATGGATGGTAGTTAGCAGCGGAATATAGGACCTTGGCACATCCAACTGACGAGTCACAAATGGGACGAAACTTGCATCCTGGATTACATTGCTAGCCACCGTCCATCTTTGCCGACTAAAATTAGGTAGCAAGATTCTTCTCACTACCGAGCAGCACCATGTAAAAGCTTTGAGTCGGACTTTGCTGCCATAAAGTTTGTAATTTACATCTGATGGGACGTACAAAATTCTATTGTATTAATTGTTATGATATCTGACGTGCTGTAAAACTGACCTGTAACCTATCAGAGCTTTCAACATTATTCTTTTATAATTTTGTAGAACTCCTCTATTCTACTGTAAACGACTTACATGCCAAACTTACCTGTTAGTGCGATTGTACAGCATAAGGAAATGATATCATCGAAAAGAAAATTTTCTACAGTGATATGTCTTCATTTCTTTTCATGAATCAACATGTTTCTTTCGTTTTTAAATTGGAAAAGTTCTTAATGTGGTTAAGTAACCCAATAGTTTTTAGCAATACGCTATCAAGTGTGTAATAGCAAATGCGAAAATCGACTTTCTAATAGTCTGTATTGATAAACACGAATAGTCGAAGTTATTTTGAAATACACTCCACTGAAACCACATGTACTCTAACCGTCTGTCATTTAAACGTCTGACAATGAATTATATCGACATGGTAAAGCCTAAGTTGCCTGAAGTGGAACGTAATAATCCGTTTAGAGTACATGGATTATATGATTTATTCAATGATAAATGAAAGTTATTCAAAAAATATGTCGACACCATTACACAGAAACGTTTTGAAGGGATAATAGTCTCATAAAACGTTTTCGACAAATGAAGTCGATGACCTTACCAGAATCTTGTGAGAAATATGTTTTTGCAACTATAACAGTACATGTTTATCCACATTCCATAAGCAAGAATTGTCACTCGGTCCAAGATTTTCTGACTTTTCTACGAAAATCGAGAAACGCTACACAAAAACAAAACTCGGAAATCTTGTATTTGTTGTATTATTTATGTATTTTTTACTACCTTGCTAGTGCTGATCGGTTTCTATCGACCTAGTCTCAGTGTGTCCCTTAGTTTCTCAAGCTCACAGGCAAACATTCCTGGTACATGTCAAATAGCATGAAACTTAGTTACAGGGTTTTCCTGTCAGTTACTTCTTACAAACGTCTTATATTTCTGAAAATACTACATAGATTCATTTTTGGATAATTTTTGATCACTTTGTTAATTGATTCAACATCCATTTTATTCAATACTTGAAAATTTGCGATAATTTAATTCATTTCATGGTATAACACTAATTCATCTGTTATGGACATTTATATTTCATACTTGATTGCTTTTAACTATTTTTGTTTAATGATTTCATACACCTCGGTATCATTATAAACTACTACATATAAAAATAACCTTTCTTAATATTATTTTTCTTTCGTAAAAATCGACCAATGATCATACTGACAATATGAGCCCCAAAATGCACTGGTACACCTGAGGGTGGAAAAAATCAGCTCTGTCTCTCTCTCGAAATGCTTTCATGTAGTCACGTGTATACAACCACTGTCAGGGAAGTCCTACTTACTACCTTCTCGCGACGGGGTTGTTGTTTACAAAATTGAGAAGACGAAAAGCGAAAGTCCGGCACTCAAACCAGACTGGTGGGTACGGAGTATCCACATTGTGAAGTTGAAAGAAACCTTGATACCAATCCAGTGGTGCACATGGGCTCCAGGATCGTGAGGGGAAAAATGGCATATGAACCAATTGTTAGTCACCGGCTACCATGGGACTGCATCTCCTGACGTTGCTCCACTACCTTGTGGATCAGACCTTCACATCGAAGACTCGTGGTGTTACCACCTAAGAAAACTACCTGCTTCGGTTTGGGCATCCGAGCAGTATTCCAACCCTCACACATATCGAATGATTTATGTGGCGCATATATAGTACATTCTTGTACCAATGTTTATGTTTTAATAATAAACAATATAAACTTATTATTTGAAGTATTTCTTATTTGTGTATATACAAAAACAAACAAGCATAAATTGTTTTTCATAATCATCATTATTATACTTACATAAAAAATATTTATAATAAAATGTCGATTACTTCATAATGTGTATAGATAAACACAATTACGTGGATGTATAGTACATTACGACTATTGAAAAACTTGAACATTTTGTTTTAATTCATTTTTCTAGGGAAAAAAACCTTGATTATACAGTATACTATTCATAATGATAGCGATATGATGACTGTAGAGATGAATTATAAAGAGAAAATAAGCTTGATTATATCAGTAAATATTAAAGTAACAACTTCTGTTCTATTGTCCTTCTAAAAGAAAACATGAAATGAATTAATTAGGGTTTAATGAATTGACTGTTTTATTTTACGTATACTTTCCTATTATTGATTTATTTCACTGTCTTCTAGAGTTTTCCATCGTTTAAATATTTCTTGGGCGTATGAGTCGGTACGTTGACCCAAAATATCTAATGCGCCATATTCTGAAAATAAAAGTGTTCCATGACAAAAAAATGATTTTGAATATTATATAACAAATAGATTTAAAAGGGTGTACGGTACACATGAGCTATATTTTTTTTAATCATTATAAATCCCATTTTAAAAATAGCTCTTCAGATGGCCAAGCTATCTTCTTACTTGTATAATCATTTTCACATTTAGAATTGAAACAGTATTAAATTCATCATGAGTATTTCCTACATGAATAATTCTTTAGTGAATAGTTTTAAGATTCGAACTTCATGACTTTTTAACTCAAATCGGCGACCTGTAAAATTACACATATGGGAATCGATAAAATCTTTCTCCGACAACACTGACTGATGATCACATTGGGATACAAATTGACTGAAATTAACAACATAAAGCACGGGATCCTGTCTAATCGGACGCGGACGCTTTGTAGATTTGTTGGTACACACTTATGAGAAGTGTTAAATATAGGATGAATAAGCTATTTATTGCTTAGTGCACCAATATTACTCCAAACGATGTTCATTTTTCATTAAAACATAAACATATGATCCTTAAAGCCAAATAAATATGGAAATAAACTAAAAATACGATAGAATGTATAAGCATAAAACGAGCGTGATGTGTTTAGGATACAAGGTTGCATGGACAGTAAGAGTATATAATTTGTGATTTACAAGGGTCAACTTTAACTATATCAACAACACGAGAATATGTACAGTTTTGTCGCTATACTAATAGTCTGATTTCATGAGTTGGAAAACTACCTCCATTAAAAAAAATCGAACACTAACCATTTCATATTCCTAATTTTAGTCAAAATAACTTTTATGTATCAAATGGTCATTTTCATATACATATTGACTTACTTTTACTGATCGGTCGGATCAGCGGTAAGCATAATTGTAACTGTTTGTATTCATTGGCAGATCTATTCTGTAATCGAGAGTTTGAAAAAACTAGTTTCGAATTCTCTGGATTTATTTCTTGTTTATTTGATGATTTCATTAGTAATGAAGGTCGAATAAATACACATCCTTCAAAATCGTCCGACATAATCAAATCATGATCCATGACAATAAAAGCTAAACAGAATGATGGATGTTGTAATTCTTCTGGAGTAACCGGACTGAAAATTAAAGAAATATATTTTGATCATTTAAGTCAAATAGTGGATTACTCGATTCTATGATTAACAATATCCAACAGTTGCTTCACTAAACATAATTTTACCAAGTTGTTCGTACTGGAAATTATTGTGCGAATATCTCGATACTATTGTTTATTATAGTTCCGTAGTATGTATGTAATATAGTTATCAATACTAAATTTATTCTTTTTTGAAATCACCATCTAGATGCATGAGATTAAGTGAGTTCTGTTGTTTTCGCTATGACTATTTAAGTACAGAAAGTCTGGGAATATAAGTTTTTCTTTTTATATGAGGCACCTAATAGTAAATTAGCAGCCTGAAAGCCAAATAAATTATTAGTGTCCCATGTCAAAAATACCATATCCGTGATTGATCCATGTAATAGATTATTTTTTATATTTAAAAGAATTTGATGAATTCCAAGTGGTTGCAAATATGGTATGATACGTTGAATGCTCAACAAAATCTGATCCTAAGATGATTTACTTAATAACACGATATCTCTTAACACTAGTTTTCATTTTAAAAAAAAATAAAAAACGAGAGTATTAGAAACTGAAGTTTCTGGTAAAACTCTACGGTTTATTTTTCTTTGCCCTTTTCATATTGTGATTCAGTTGTCCTGTAGTGAACAAGAACACGAGTAGAGGCCAATCGAATGCACTTGACGCTAAATTACAGAGCATCCCAATAAAATCTAAGAACCATATAGTAAATAGTTAATTTGCAAAATATCAATCCATCATCTCAAACTTAACTGTTCCTTTGCAAACATCAGTATCTTGTCTGAGATTTAATTGTTCATGCATTTTCATACCAATTGCATTCCGTTCCCGTTCTTTCCCCATCGACCTACTAAAATACCATTGTATGCCTGACCATCGTTATATGCTACTTGTGTGGATATATGTAACCCACACCGCAGTACAAATGATTAAACTACTTTTTTAAATTTCAGTCTTCATATAGTTAAATAGTTGAAATCTCTGTTCTGTAAACTTATATGTAATTTAATGAGATAACATTATAAATGATAATCGATCTTTCAAATGTAATCAAGTCATGTATATACTTAAATGCATAAACATAATTAGTGTTGATAAAAATGTACTTTTTATCATACGATGTATTTATGAACTATTTTTTATTATAGTTTGTATATTAAATAAACATGGAATATGTAAACTTATTTTGTTCATTGATAATAATCAGGCATGTGAAAAATATATAATTAGAAAACACATAAATAAGATAGATACTTTAACGTGGTTTGACATTAACAATCTCATTTATTGGATAATTAAATATAAAGCTAGTAAAAAACTATATGCTTAAAGTCAATTTTTCTTATGGAAATATAATACCGTGAAGAATCTGGTAAAACAATGTTTACGTTTATATAAAATAATAAATTGTCTAGTGGTTAAGCGTTCTTGCGCGAGACTAATTGATCCTGGGTTTGAATCTCGCGAGGCGAGATCGTGGATGTGCACTGCTGAGGAGTATTACAATAAGACGAAACAACCATCCAGTACTTCCAGGTTTTTCAATGATGGTCTAGCTTTAATTAACTCATGATTTTAACTATTGAAATTAAAAAATATTTCGTTGATTTTTCATAGTTTTAATAAATATTTTTTAGAACAACATATATAAGCGAACAATATTGTTTTTGATTAGATCCTCATCAGGCTCTAATATATAGTGATATTTATAGGTATATGTGAAATTAATAAACTAATCATGGTAGTTCATGAGTCAGTGATAACAGTTGAATAGATCACATAGATTACCATTTTCTTTTTTTTTGAAATATACGTTTCACGGTCCAATTATCTAAACACTTTTTATTACGTAATCTTATGGATATTATTTCAGTGTCTATATTTTTCTAATCATTGACCAAATTCCCATTATGTAACATTGATTTAAGGCTTTATTATTCCTATCACAATTAGTACACTTGTCATCACATTACCAATCTGTACTTTTCACTTATTATATTTATTTATGTAATCTATTCCACTGTTATCATTGACTCATAAACTGCCTTGATTGGTTTAATAGATTCGTATATATTTACAAATATTGCTGTATATTAGAGTGAAGCCTGATGAAGATCTAACTGAAAATAATATTTTTCGCTTATATATGTTCTTCTAAATCCCAATATGGGAATTTTTCAAATAATTTTTAAACGAATAAATTTTACAGATTGAAATCATGAGTCAGTTGAAGCTAGACCACCATGGAAAACCTGGAGGCACTGGGCGGCCGTTTCGTCCTAGTATGGGACTCCTCACAGTGCGCGTCCACGACCCCGCGGGATTTCAACCCAGGACATACTGGCTTCGCGCGCGAGCCCTTAACCATTAGACCACTGAGCCGGCATCCAACGGTGTCAATGTCTAACTTCAACCAATCCACGAAGTTGCGCCACCGTACACCATTGTCTTCAATTTTATGTTAAAAATTACTGGAATGCTACTAAGCTTAGTTGTAACTTTGATGATAAATAGTGTAATTAATTCTTTGTTATGAGCTTGGAATTATGTCAATTATCAAGTGCATATCATGTTTTTAGGATTGAAATATAGTTTATAGTTTATTATCATATCTTTATTTTGAACACTTAAATGATTTTTTAAGGTTTCTGTCATGTTAACACTAATAGCCTACGTCAAAAATAGGTCAGAAGGAAAAGAAGTAGGAAATATCTCAAGCCTCTCGGGCTATTACAAATGCCTACATCTTGGAACATTATGTAATATTCTCTACATGTTACCACCAAAATAAATATATAAAGTGAAAACTTTTAACATTCGATATTTCTTCCAATCATGTTTCCATGACCTGATTTTCTGGTCCTAACTAATAACTGAAGCAAATATCTGATAATTAAAAGCTTGTTTGTATCATGACAGATAAAAGGTATCGAATTCGGTCACAATTTTGACATCAGGACGCCAACATTAACAATGGATTTCATTCAACGTAAGCAAAACTATGTATAATAATTATCAAATTCACTTGACTCATTCTCCCTTATTCAATCTTTATTCGATTGTGCTGTCTTTCAAGTACGATATGATTGTATTCCATATAAATCACGGTTGGTTACTTATTATATATTTTTCTCAAAGTAAATTGATTCAACATTTTGATAAGTCATAGATTACCAGTTGATACTTTATAACCTCAGGTTACATTATGTATTCATAGATTTTTAACGGAATTATTTAAAATAAAGAAACTGGTTTTCTGTGATTAAGACTTTATCTGTTGTGTCCACTAGGTTGGCCGGACTTCTGGTCTCAGAAATAAATAAGAAATTACACCATACCAATATAAATTACCAGAGACGAAATAAGAGTAGTTTGAAATCATTGTTCTTCACTAAGATTTTTAAGAGAAACACATCTGAATAGATAAATGCCAAATTATTACTGAATCACAAGAAGGAATTTCATGCATTACAACGCATGATCATAGCCCAAAAATAAAAAATGCGGTCAAATTCAACTTAAAAATGTTAATTATATATTTTCACACCACTGTAAAACATGACAGTAAACAGAAGGTATATACACTTATTTTGAGAAGCTAAAAGGAATTTGCATAACCTTCCATCGTCTATTTGCATCTTATGGTGCATTCTGCAATCTCAACTGTTTTCTCGACTGACCTTCAAGTGTTCTGTCAAAGTTTTGCTTTCGATGCACTAAAATGCTTCACTCGGTTCTACATTTGTTATAATTTCGAAACCACTACACACTACTTATAAGTGCCCTTGAGAATAGCGTCCACTACACCATCACCAACCTATCAGTCTTTCATAGAATCTTATTTATCTTAACTTGTACTGCTTCAAAGACTCATCGTTTAGCTATAAATCAATATTCAGATGATCGAATGACATTCATAGTGAATTATTAAATGATATAAAATTAAAATGTGCTATTTATTTGTGTTTTGAAAAAAAAGGAACTGAGAGCTTTAATGAATTATAATGATATACTTACAATTCAAAATGTTCATCAAATACAGGATCAACTGTATTCTTGACAATTCTTGTTCGTGATGACTTTGGAGTTTCCGAAAATATATGCTTAGGTAGTAATTCAATAATTATGAATGGATCTGATAAACCTTTTAAAATAAATGATGATTTAATAACATATATTTTCTTTCTGAAAGTTTTTTTAATTCAAAAAGAGTAATGTAACAAATATGGAATATAAAAACTGTCGAATTTCTCGCAATTCAAAGATATTAAAGTCTGATATTAGATGGTATTGAAATGTAAAATGGACATTTCTTCTAATTTTGTACTTGTCAGAAAATTGTGTCTACATTACAGTATTGTTTTCTACACTATAACTCGAATTCAATACGTTTCACTTAAAACACTATCGTGTAATACACTGAGCTATTAAGTCCAAATAGCTACTGACTTGTACAGATGGTATAAGTTTCATATGAATTATAGTCTTTAACTTCAACAATGCATTTTACCTGATATAATGACATGTAATGGTAAACTATTTTAAATTTTCTAATCCTTGTTCATTAATTAAATATTTTCTCAATTGAAACAAATTTCCATAAAAGAGCTTCTGGATATAGATATTTTTGATTCAACATAACTTTTTGGAATAGTCATATTACTGAGCGAGTATTTTCATTTAACCACACTTCAATATCATGCACTATGGTCTAATCAATGCAACTATTCATCAGTTTAATACAGCACAATCGTAAATTTGAGTTGAGATTATAATCACTTATGAATTAAAATGTATTTGTTTTCAGATAGTCCAGCTGTATAATTAGTTGTAAAATAATTAAAGTTACTGAATATTCTGATTCAGTTTAGGAAGCATTTTATGGTGTAAATTCAAATTAGCAAATGAAAGACATCAATATCACAATATTTGGAGAAACTTTCTTTTTATCAGTACGGCGTTGTGGAGATTGTTACGTTTTCGATTAAGATTGTGGATTAGTTGAACTTAGACATTAACACGCCGTCTCAGTGATCTAGGGGTTAGGCGTTCGTGCATGAGACCAAAAGTCCGGGGTTCAAATCCCATACGCGGAATTATGGATGTAAACTGCTGAGTAGTCGTATAACAGAACGAAACGGCCATCCAGTGCTCCCGGGTTTCAATGGTGGTCTAACATCAATCAATTCATGATCTCAATCAAAGACTTGTTTACTCCGAGTTAAGTACCTATACAGAGGTGAAAGTAAAGTAGCTCAGCACACACAACTTTAATAAAATATGAAAACTAAATATAACAATTAACTTTCAAATACTATCATGTTATGGTTAAACCAGAACTAGATCATGAATTAAAGTTGCTGAGAAAAGCAAAATATTCATTATTTTAGAAAAGTAATAAAACACACTGTGCTCCACTATAAGGAAATAGTCAGATAAATTCGTAAATGCTGACAAGATGCATTTAAATGAGTAGAATAAATCATACTATACCAATTAAATAGTTTAATTTACCGTTTGAATCAAGTGGTACAAGGTTTGTAGCTCGTTGTATATCTACATATAATGATGTCCGTTGATAACTTATCTTACTGTCAATTTACCATATGAAGAAGAACTCGCTAATTCCTAAAATAAACAATGTATATGAGTGTTAAGTTATTGACAACCGGTTCTAAAAAAGCTAAATAAGAAATTTGTAAATGGAATAAACTTTGATAATTTTTGTGTTCAGAAGCAGTTTGTTGAATTCCTTAGTTTACGATGATCCTGACACGCCTCGGTAATCTGCAAATCTTCGTCACCTATTTGTCCTCTTTTTTCTTGTATTTATCAAGCGGACAAGTATCTTTCTTATCATTGTTCTATATCTGTTTTTTGTAAATTATTTTTGACATTAATTTGTTCATATCCTGTATCATCGTTAAGAGGGCGATTTCTGATTTCATACATTATCACCCTCTGGTTATTACGCAACTTTGTGTTGATCGATTTTTAGTACCTCTGTCAGTGACATAAGAGTTCTCTACTTTACTACAAACCTCTGTGAATGAAAAATTACTGTAAATTCACTAGTACAGTTCGAGAAAATGAGATCATTGAAAAGAAAGTTTTCCTTGATATAACATCTTCATTGTGACGATTCCTTGGGTTCATGTAAACGTTTCTTTGACCATATCAATGTTCTCCACTTTTTAGTTGAATTAAATAATCAAAAAATCCTCTCACTACTTTGCATATAGTGATTTTGCTGAAAACCGGTCAAGACCAAGAAAACAAACTCTCAGATTATTTCAATTGTTGTGCACAATTTAAATAATGTATAGAATGATACATTCTTGGATGAAATTGAGAAAAACTCTGAAAAAGGGTGTTTTAGAGCAATTGATCTTCATTTTAATATTAAAATAAGTTTTTTAAGTAAGTTAGCATTGAACATTTCAACTTTGAATTCCTAGTAAAGGCTAACTGAATGACTTCAGTTTGATTAGTCGATAAATTGTGTGCTCATTCCATGTGCATTATTGAAGAATTACAAGCACAGAATTCGTTCTAGCGGCTTCGTTTATGACTGGATGCACTTAAAGTTTTTTTTTACTTTATCGTCGCCTCTAGTCAAAATGACTGTTTTGTTTGGTTGACCTTTAATCATGTGACTGACAGAAATTTAACGTATCGGTTGACAGATCAGTTCAATGTGGATGTATCTATTAATTAATCTGAAAGCTATACCCCTATAAATTTCCCGACAGTTTTAGGATTTCTTCGAAGAAGAATTTTAATGTTTTTCTAGTTGAATTCATGTCCGTTGTTGTCTAAGGGCAGTAAAACCAGTGATAATATATGGAGTACAGACTGATAAGGATTTATAAGGTAGAAAACAACTATCCAGTGGATTCTGGTTTTTGTTTGGTTCCCTAACTAACGTTGGTTCATGAGGTGGACTAAATTTGAAAGACGAAAACCGTGTTAACCTTTCTATTTTATCTGAAAGGACCTAATATTGTGGCACTGGTAGATCAAATTTCCTACGAAAAGTTGTTATTGTCTATTTACCATTAAAAATTGTTTAAGCTGTCCTGCATAAACTCATCAAAATGTCTTTGAGGAATAAACAAGAGGAAAATATTACTTTACAATCCAGTTTCCTGGAAACTTTCTCTCAAGGTTGGATGGTGAATAACAGTATCTAAGATATGAAACTACAGTATCTTAGGTACAGAATTTTTAGAGTACAAGTGTTCTTCTAAACGTTTATTTATTCAAACCAGTACCATACTGATATATGTTAAGTCAGTTACAAAATCTTTGGATTTAAGAATACTATTCATTGCAATTTTCCTGATGAATCGGTCCTTAAATAAGTGTCTTGCGATAAGTAAGATAAGAAGTGCACACAAACGCTCATATAAAAACAGTCAAGGTTGATAAGTGAGTAATTAACACGGTCAAAATATGACTCAAAAATAATGGATAAATTGGACTGTCCAGAAGTCAGAATGTGTGTGGGCTTAACATAGTAATTGACACTACAATGTTCAACTCATGAATAATGATAGCTTACTTGTTCATTAAGTTTTCAATGAAATACTGTTCAACCACTTCTGGTGTACTACTGTTATATAGTTGGATCAAATATTTTACATTCTGAAGAATAAAAAACAAACAAACGAACATACAGTTTTCTTGATAATTACTGTTAACATCTAAAGATTATGATTATATTGTATCGTATGAATATTTCAATAAAAGAGAACACATATTGGCAAGATCCCTGATTAGACTATTGTGCATATTTGTAGTTCAAGGAATGAATATAATACGCATTTTCTAAAGACAAAAATATGCCAATTTGTATACTAGCAGTGAAACTAAGTTCCGAAGCCAATGAGTCACGGCTCAAAGTTTTCTCCTTATTGTCTCCAGTGTATGGTAAATACAATAACATAACGTTATTTGACCAATTAGTTAAAAACAACGTTATTTTCAATGCAGTATTCAGCTATAAATACTGAATTATGTATGAAATCCATTAATTTATGCTTAAAAGGATAAAAAAACTCTCATGCTACAATATTCAGGTAAGTTGTGTTTTTTCCTCAATAATTCTTACGGTTGTCATTTTGCGATAGATTCGAATAATTAGATAAATTTGAGAATCTGATGAGATGTGTATGATTTCTTATTGTCCCAAAGGAAGGAAACTATAACATGAAGCTATATTTTTGATGTTTTTTTAAATTAAGGAATATAGTAGTTCAAACACTAATTGATCATTGCTAGATCACTGTATGAAAGCGGAAAGCACCGGGAACCTGTCCCATTTTAGTATGGGACTGACTCTTCAGCAGAAAGCATCCACGAACCAACTGCCCTAGATATAATCCAAGACCTTTTCTCTAGTACGGACGCATAACCTCCAGACGATTTGGCTGTCATTCAATGATGCACATGTCCACCTCAAATGCATTCACTTTACTGTACAGCCATCTTTCATTAACTGATGACTGGCTTCAAACTTAGGCGTTCAGACACTAGACCAAACGTCCCAGGTTCGGTTCACGGCGATAGGGTCGCGGATATGAGTTTCTGGAGATCCCCGTACTAAGACTAAACAATTATCTAGTTTTCCTAGTTTTTAATGTGATCTAGGTAAGATCAGTTCGTCATTCATACTATAAACATTCGACAAACTTTCGTCAAAGAAAAAGATAAATCTACCATTGACCTTCAGATAAACTTATTATGATACAATTTATCATCCTCCAAAATGACTCAATATATAATAAAAAAAGTTCATACTTTTGGTCGAGATCATAATAACATTATATAACAACAGAAAAACATGTAAACGTGACAATGTATATATTAGATAATTTGTATACTTATTTTGTTATTGTTCTTTTTGACTAAAAACTAGGTTTTACATTCCATTCGTTTATTCATTAGTTCATATATTGTAATATCAGGTTTCTTGAAATTGTTCACTTCAGGATTATGGTATAAATTATTATATACGTTTTCTAATTACTTTATGTATAAATATGGAATGTATGTCAAATTGAACAGACCATACAACGACACTATTTGGAAAGTACGATGAATTCATTGTATTTCGTTCCTTTCTCCTTAGCTTCACCTAAGCTAATAAGTCAAATCTTTTCAAATTATAAATTGGGAAAATGAATTAGTATCAAGGTAATCGATGGTTAACCACTGATGTTTTTAAGCATATAAGTCTAGGATAAACCTTCTGGTTGTTATAGCCTCCAAAAGTTTAATAAGATTTAACTGAACTGTGTTATTTACCACTTTAAATTCATTTATTGTTTTAACGTTTTGCACCACATCTACCAGCTGATGGATATGCTGTCAAATTACGTAGGCTTTTTAGTCCCCAGAGACTCAGTTTCCTTGGAATATGTTCAGCAAAACGAGTAGCTGCTCATTTTTTATCCCTCAGATATACATTTGTATGTAAAACTGATATATTTAATTGAGTGGGACATAATACATATATTTGTATACTTTTGTTTGTGTTATGAAGCGTCGAGTTGTGTATGATAAAGCCAGTTTCGCAGCGGTTATTGTACATATTAAGGCCGTTTTTAGTTTTGATTAATGTTATTCATGATCTGATCTCTATTCGAATGACATCAAATAAAAACGTGTTTCGTATCGAGTTTACTAACTTCTGTCTTATGTAGTCAAAATACTTTAATTTATTTAATGACATAAACTATATTGCTTGAAAGTCAATACGATAATTATCTTATTTTGAGTTAAAAGACTAGAGTACTTTATTATGTAAGTATCTTTTATGAGCATTGAATGAGTCAAACACTGAAAACAAACTTCAGCTGCTTCAAAAATCTTGAACGAATCCGTAACAGGTTTTTAATACACTTAAAGTTTCAATTCTAAGTTTTTTTAGATTTTGTAAAAGAAGGCTATTTATATAGTAACAAAGCTATTATAGGAGATTTTAATTATTCTAGATTATATGTTAAAATTAGTAGTGGTTAATGATCATCATTTAAGAAACGAAAAACGAAGATGAATAAGCTTTCACAAAATCGAATTTTCATGATTACTTGGTACAATTATGGACATACGCCATTCGTGTTTCTAAGTACTTTTCAGTGCAAAACTTGATACCACCCTGAAGATATTAATCGCCTGTCTGTGTCTATGAACAAAAAGACATCAGATCTTGTCTTCTTAAAACATTAGATCGTCTAGGATATTAGATAAATTTAAAATAATACCCTTAGATTTTCTAAGGTATAATCAGATATGAACTCGTTACAAGAAAGTGGAATGTCTCAGGTATTTCAGGCTTTTACTTGATATAATATATTCTGATTTTGTGCTAACATCCATTGACATTATATCAATAATCGACATCTTCAACAGCTTACATGAAATCTCACACTTAGCTATAATGATGAATTCTATGATTTCTTATAAACATCATATGAAATTTAAATTCACTTGGTGTTGCACAAGCAGATGGCTATCATGATTCAGTAGCTGTGTGGAGAACACGATGGTGTTGAAGCGAACGGTTCTGGGTTTGAATCTTGGAGTGATCATCATCGCTGGGATGCGGGTACATCCATCTGAGGAGTCTCAAATAGAATGTAACGCGCGTCAAACTGGATTCCATTGCTAACCACTATCCATCTTTGCTTAAAAATCATATGAAATTGGTTTCCAATAGTTCAGGTATAAAGCAAACCCAATTCACTGCTATCTGATGAATCGATAGTACCCAGTAATATTTAATGGTTGTTGATCACTTTGGTCACAATATCTAAAATCCCTTTTTTTAAAGTTTTGACGAATAGATCTTATTTTAGTCGAATGCTGTTCGACATGATCAAATATAATTTGTTAATTTTTAAACATATCCACATCAGTAGTATGTAACGACGGTTAGATATAGAATGTATTTCAGTGGAAGATTGAGAGGGAAAGGCCGGGAACGAAGAGCGATTGGTATGAAAGTGCATGAGCAATGAAATCTGAGACTATAGACTGATATATGCAAAAGAAACAGTCAATTCTGACATTTTTACCTCTGCTGCATAAACACTGTAGAACAGGGTGAATGTAAATGATCAATGTATTAGTTATACAATTTCATGAACTAATTTTAATAATTTCAATAGTTGAAATCATTAGTCGATTGAAGCTAGACCACCATAGAAAACCTGGAAGCACCGGGTGGCTGTTTCGTCCTGTTGTGGAACTCCTCAGCAGTGTGCATCCAAGACCCCAACTCGCAGTATTCCAACACAGGACCTCTCAATCTTGCGCGCGAAAGCTTAAGCACTAGAACATTGAGTCGGCCAGTATTCAACAGTGTTAATGTCTAACTTCAACTAATCCACGAAATTGAGTGACACATTCACCATTGTCATTAATGAGTTATTGTCTCACAAAAAACCCGGTTGAACTCCACTGATCATTGCTTTTCAATAGATCTTCATGAAATAGCTCTTGAAGCCAGTCAGTAGTGAGCATATGTTGATGAGTATCAGAAAGGGTTTTGTAGTGGTTTTCCATTGTGGTCTGGCTTCAATTGTCTCATGATCTCAACTATTGAAATTACTACTTCTGATACTAATACGACAATTTTCATGCATGAAATCAACGATAGGTTTTATAGTAATAGTATAAGCTGTAATGTATGTAGTATTTCCATAGTATAACGATCAAGTATGTTGTATGAATGTTGGTTCAATAAGATCATATATGATAATCGTAATTAATAAAATTATAAATAAAGATAATTATTAACTTACATTATATTCTTCTGTTTCTAAACTTCCTTTATTGATTTGATCCTCACCAATTTTTAAGAAAAATTCAAGTAATATACCTAAAGACTTTTTTAATCTTTCTAATGTAGATTTAGCTCGAAAAAATTTGATTTTTATCTATTTCCATTGGTAAATTAGATATTAGTTCATACATTTCATGAGTAGATAGTGGTATAATTGTTGGATTATTATTATTATTATCTGCATTAAAATCTGATTTAATTTGTAGAAATGCACCAGGACCACCAATATTAGTTGAATTAATTTCACCTTCTTTAATTGTTTGTTCCATATATTGTTCAAGACATTCATGCCATATTGATAGTACACAACGATGTAATAAATTACTAGATACATTAATTTTTAATGTTCTTATATTGGAGTCCAAATAAACGATTAAATCATGCATAGCCTATATAAATATTGTATCGGTTAATGTGATAATGTAATTATATATATATGTAATAAATAGCGTTAATATTGCTCATGAGATGTTGGAGAACATTTGTAGCTCAGATGAATGATTTTGATTGAGTTTTGTTCTGTGAGCTAAATTTTTGGTCAGCTCCAGCTCAGAGAACAAAACTCCATCATAGTATTGCTCAGCTTGTCATTATTCAAAAGTTTTTGTGTTCTTGAGGTATATGGTTTAGTTTTATGGCTTACAATTATGTTCTGGACAACGCCATCAGATTTTACTTTACGTAGAGATAGGCTGTTATAAGTTATTTCATGGTCTTTAAATTAATCAGTTTTACTAATCTTATTTATATTTGGTTGTCTTCATAAGTTTCTTTTATACTTATGTATCTTTGTGTTCTGGACTACTTTGTTAAGTTAAACTGTAATCAAGTGACTGATTGACAACCATCCTGATATATTCATTGATTCTTTCACTTTGATAAATGTTATTATTTATCAGAACGAAATTATATATTCTCACGTTAATAACTGCCAGTGTAATTCTGTAGCTCAGTGCTAGGTTGTGCATTAAGAAACTCAGAAGCTCATAAGTTTTAACTCAGATATTCAAAAAAGACGCATTATCACCCGTTCTTTCATGCAATAATAGATTTCTCCACTTTTATGACCCATTTCTAGTTTAAGAACTTGGTTTGAACAACCAAGACTAACTTATTACAAATTTTTATTCTTATATGTCTCATTGACTTCTGAAGTTTGATCGCATTACTCAGCTATTGTTGAAGGTAACTTTTATTAAATGTCTAAAGTTATTGGAAAGCATCCATTTTCTTTATGTTGTTGGGATAAACTAGTTGATAGGTTTTTAGTGGTACAAACCTTCCATCCAAAACTGATTGCGATTTGCTTTCAGTCATTCGAAATTCCTTGATTTTTACGATGACATCAGATTGTTAAGAATAATTTTGAAACTTAAAAGTAATCAATAGAATATAGTCAGTAATTATACATAGACAATGTGACATTAATGAATACCCGATAAGTGACTAGACTACAACATGTATACGCTTATGAATGAATAAATGAGAAATATTCAAATAATAAATGGACAGTTAGTCATGATTTCTGTACAACTATTTATCTATCAAATAAAATGTGATATAATCATTCTTCGAAGTTACTCACCTTATCAACAGGAGTTGATCGTAGACTCCAACATAAATGAAAGACATTCTTTCTGATTTCTGGTCTCATCTTATAAATAAATAAAGGAATAAGCTATGCTCATTTTATAACTTAGAGTGATTATGTAAAAAAAATGAAAATGTAATTGACTACTAAATAAATGTTAATGATAACAATTACAGTAAGTACTTACTTACTTACTTACGCCTGTTACTCCTCGTGAAGGAGCATAGGCCACTCACCAGCATTCTCCATCCAACCCTGTCCTGGGCAATCCTTTCTAGCTCCGTCCAGTTGTAATTCATCCTTTTCATATCTGCTTCTATAATCCGACGCAATGTGTTCTTTGGCCTTCCTCTTTTTCGCTTCCCTTCAGGGTTCCAAGTTAGGGCTTGCCTCGTGATGCAGTTTGACGATTTGCGTAATGTATGTCCTATCCATTTCCATCGTCTTTTCCTAATTTCTTCTTCAGCTGGAAGTTGGTTTGTTCTCTCCCACAGAAGGCTATTGCTGATGGTATCCGGCCAGTGGATGTTGAGTATCTTGCGTAGGCAGCTATTTATAAATACTTGTACTTTCTTGATGGTGGTTGTTGTAGTTCTCCAAGTTTCAGCTCCATACAGTAGAACTGCCTTGACGTTCGTATTGAAGATTCTCACTTTGATATTGGTTGAAAGTTGTTTTGAGTTCCATATGTTCTTCAATTGTAGGAATGCGACCCTTGCTTTGCCGATCCTCGCCTTTACGTCTGCATCTGAACCTCCTTGTTCATCGATGATGCTTCCTAGGTATGTGAAGGACTCTACATCTTCCAGAGTTTCGCCATCAAGAGTGATTGGATTGCTGTTCTGCGTTTGAATTTGAGGACCTTGGTTTTCCCTTTGTGTATGCTGAGGCCTACTGATGCAGAGACTGCTGCTACACTGGCTGTCTTCATCTGCATCTGTTCGTGTGTACGTGATAGGAGGGCTAGGTCGTCTGCGAAGTCCAAATCGTCTAATTGATTCTGAGTTGTCCATTGTATTCCGTGTTTTCCTTCAGATATTGAGGTCTTCATAATCCAGTCGACCACCAGAAGAAAGAGGAAGGGAGAGAGTAAACAGCCTTGTCTGACTCCAGTCCTTACTTGGAATGCATCTGTCAGCTGTCCTCCATGCACTACTTTGCACTGTAGTCCGTCGTATGAGTTCCGGATAATGTTGACAATCTTCTCAGGAACTCCGTAGTGTCGAAGAAGTTTCCATAATGTCCTCCTATCTACACTGTCGAATGCCTTTTCATAATCAATGAAGTTGATGTATAGTGATGAGTTCCACTCAACTGATTGTTCGACGATGATCCGTAGTGTTGCAATTTGGTCTGTGCACGACCGATCCTTACGGAATCCAGCTTGTTGATCTCGAAGTTGGGCGTCTACTGCATCCTTCATCCGGTTCAGCAACACTCTGTTGAAGACTTTCCCTGGTATTGACAGTAGTGTAATGCCTCTGTAGTTTTCACATTTGCTCAGATCTCCTTTCTTTGGAATCTTGACGAGGTGTCCTTCTTTCCAGTCCATCGGCACTTGTTCCTCCTCCCAAATCTTTTTGAATAGAAGGTAAGCATGCTTGTGGTTGCTTCGATGTCTGATTTCAGTGCTTCAGCTGGTATGTTGTCGGGTCCTGCTGCTTTCCCGTTCTTGATTTGTCTGACGGCCATTCTAATTTCTTCCGTCGTTGGTGGGTTGACATCTATAGGAAGATCTATGTGTGCTGCTTCGATGTCCGGTGGATTCATTGGAGCCGGCCTATTCAGGAGTTCCTCGAAGTATTCCACCCATCTGTTACGCTGTTGTTGAATTTCGGTGATTGGCTTGCCTTCTTTGTCTTTGACCGGCCTCTCTGGTTTACTGTATTTCCCTGCTAGTTTCTTCGTTGTATCGTAAAGCTGTTTCATATTTCCTTCTCTAGCAGCTTTTTCTGCCGTCGTTGCTAGTTCTTCCACGTATTTCTTCTTGTCGGCTCTAATGCACCTCTTCACTTGTTTGTTTGCTTCTATGTATTCAGCTTGTGCTTGAACTTTCTCTGCTCGTGTTCGGCTGTTGTTAATTGCTGCCTTCTTGTTCTTCCTTTCTTTGATCTTGTCCAGTGTTTCTATAGAGATCCATTCCTTATGATGGTGTTTCTTTAGGCCCAGAACCTCTTGACACGTTGAAGTTAATGCTTCCTTGATGCCTTTCCAGTTGTCCTCCATACTAGTTTCTTCTTCTTTCAGTAGATCTTGTAAGGCTTGGAACCTGTTGTTGAGAGCTATCTTGAATTCATTGAGTTTGTCAGTATCTCGAAGGAAGGCTGTATTGAACCTTTGTAGTGCTGTTTGTCCACTTGTCCAGTTCTTTTTAGCTTCAGTTTTAAATTGGCTACAACTAGGTGGTGATCTGAAGCTACGTCAGCACCTCTCCTGGTTCTCACATCTTCCATTGTCCTTCGGAATTTTTTGTTGATGCAAATATGATCTATTTGGTTCTCTGTAGTGTGGTCCGGTGAGATCCATGTAGCCTTGTGTATACGCTTGTGTGGAAATATTGTGCCTCCTATGACCAATTTGTTGAATGCACATAAATTTGCAAATCTTTCTCCATTTTCGTTTCTTTCTCCCAGTCCATGTCGTCCCATAATATCTTCATATCCAGTGTTGTCTATTCCGACTTTGGCATTTAGATCTCCCATCAGAATAGTTAGGTCCTTTCTTGGCATTTCTCAATGATTGACTGCAGCCGCTCGTAGAACTGATCTTTAATGTCGTCGTTGCTATCATTGGTGGGTGCATAACATTGGATAATATTCATTAAGATCCCCTCCTTCTTTGTTTTGAATGATGCTTTGATGATTCTGGATCCGTGAGACTCCCATCCTACAAGTGCATTTCGTGCTACTTTGGACAGCATAAGAGCGACTCCCTGAGTGTGTGGAGCATTGTCCTCCTCGTGACCGGAGTATAGCAGCATCTCTCCCGTAGCTAGCCTTTTCTGTCCAGCTTGGGTCCAGTGGGTTTCGCTGATTCCCAGTACTGCTAAGTTGTATCTCCTCATTTCCATTGCTATTTGACTGGTCTTCCCGGTTTCCCACATTGTTCGAACGTTCCATGTACCTATAAAAATTTTTGCTCTGGTTGTTAGAAGGGGCATCGGCCTCGTGGCTTCCGAAGGAACTCGGCTTTCACCATGAAGCGTCATAATTCTTCTAACTGAAGACCTTCTAACTCCCAGGGCAGAGTTTAAATGGTTTGGATTATTTTTTCTGGTAAGCGTTTTTTTAGCGAGTTAGTTTTCTACGGGATGGGGACGCTAACCCCATGCCCAACCCTCCTCCTTTACCCGGGCTTGGGACCGGCAGTAACCCTATTAGAGCTACAGGCGGAGTAAGTAAGAAGGGATTATTTGAACTTTAAAATCATGTAACATTGTTTTGAAGGATCACAGTGAAAAAACTACAATTGAAGGTTGATACATACATTCTGTAACTTTTTGAGACATATGGAATTAATGCAATGGTTTATGTACTGAAGTAGTTTACATATACATTCCGTACAATTTAAAGTCTTTGAAAAAAGATACTTTCATTAGATTACTTAATAGTTTTGATTTTCATATGGTTTTACACTGTAAACGTTAGAAAACAATTGAAGATTACGTAATAATTTAGCATGAGAAAAGATTATAAATAAGTTGACGTTGATCTGTTACGTATTGACAGCGAATTATTATAAGAGGAAATATATGTCTTTGTGATTATAGAGGTCAGTAATATAAACGTGTAGTTTACTCTAGAATTTTTTTAAATAACTTGAACATGTATTTAGGGAATAAACTCAAACAAACACTTTCATCTGAACGTATTTTTAATTGAAGTTCTTGATCCTCATCGCGGATTGACAATTTAGTGATTGGTAAAATGATTACAACGAAATAGAAATTTAATTTCAGTACATAATTAATATTGAAATGTGAAGCAATCAGTATACATAGTGATTCGGTTGTTTATCAAAATATAGAACTGATAATAATCATCATATGCTTACTACTGACTGGCTTCAAGAGCTATTTCTTGAAGTTCTATTGAGAATTAATGATCAGTAGAGTTCAACCGCATCAATTGTGAGATAGTAACTCACTGATGGCAATGGTGGATGTGTCACTCAATTTCGTGGATTAGTTGAAGTTAGACATCAACACTGTTGAATACTGGCCGGCTCAATGGCTTAGTGGTTAAGTGTTCACAGACGAGACTGAGAGGTTCTGTGTTGGAATACTGCGAGTTGGGGTCTTGGATGCACACTGCTGAGGAGTTCCACAATGGAACGAAATGGCCATCCAGTGTTTGAAGATTTTTCATGGTTATGTAGCTTCAAATGACTCATGAATTCAACTATTAAATTACCATAATATCCACAAAAACCCCTTTCTGATAATGGTAATAATAATGTCAATTTTTATCAACTTAGAATAATTTTTTCGCTTTTTTTCCTGAGTTTGTTATTGTATGGAAAAAAAGTTACATAAGATGTAAATGCACTATTCGTGTTGTTAAACTTGTGGTAGTGTAAACATTGTTAACTACATACCAAAAACTGTATTAGTTAATATACATATACGAAGGTTTTTAAATAATGTCCAACTCATTCGAGTAAGAATTTACCAAAGATAAATTCAACAAAATAGATTTTTATGAATACTTACTTTAGCATTCATACGATAGATTGTTCGATTCAATACACGAATAAGTTCACTATATCCTTTATGTTGAAGACGCTTTAAAGTTTCTAAATGTTGGTAAGGAATTTTAGTTTCTTCATCATCAATCGATTTACTGATTACATTTGTGGTACCAATAGTCCCACTATCATTGTTATTATTATCATTACTTTTAGTATTGTTACTTTTACCAGTGATAGTACCACAAAGAACACTACTCGTGTTGTTAGTATTAGAAATACTGGAAACAACATTTTTATTATTAGACGACCAAGGAGTTTGTACATTTAAAAATAGTAGAATGCATTGAATAAATTTTGAAATTAATTCCAAATTGTTCAATCCAATAGAGAGCTATAATGATATACGAAAGGGTAATAAAAGCAGCAAGCAATATACGGTAAATGTATCAATGAAATATATCATTTATTTCTGGAGTGCATGTATTACTGTTATACGAACCGTATGGCTATTAATATGTATCCCTCTTTGACAAATGTCTTTATAGTTTAATAACGTTTTTCAACTGCATTTATTTTCCGAAAGTTTCGTTATTATCAAGTCAGCCTCAGTTCCTATTCTTAAATATTTCTGACAAACATAGGTTTCTTACATTTAAAGCTGACTAATTATCTCTTTTGTTGACCAATACTAGAAATGGGAGAGAATAGCTATGCAGTAAGTAATTGATGAAGCTTAAATATCAACTAACCTATCATCTCTTAAAATCGAATATTCATGAACTAAAAAAATACAACAACTCAATGGTAGTCAAATGAAAAACAGTAGTTTACTTCAGAGTTACATGTGGAAGTTTTCATCGTGACTTATTAGCGTATTATTTAGACAATGATCACTGAAATTAGGTTACGAAAGTTGGTTTTAATCTTTTATTTATTTATTTTCCATAAATTTAGTGTAGTGAATGGTTACAGTGTGTTATAATTCGAGAATGAATTTCAACATTGTTCTACGCAGTGCATACCAGACAGTTTAAAATATGTGACGATCCTTGGGCACTTTAGTATTAATCAGAGAGAATTAAAGAAAACATTGGTGTTGAACATTTTAGCATGAAACAAAATAGTCATTGCGATAAAATATTTTAAAAAATCATTAGATGACAACTTACTGAGGTTGAAATATCAAACTGCCCTTCTTCATCACAATATCCTTGTAGACGAAGTTTCTCATGTAACTGTTTTGCATATGATAAAGTAACTTCACAAGCAATCTAAAATAGGTTTAATAAATTGAATTACAAACAAATCAGATTTTTGGTAATACAAGTGTAGCTACTTATAAATTTGTCAGTAGTCCAACTATAAAACCTAATGTGCGAGTTTTTAGAATGTGTCCTTTTCAATACATACACGTTTAGGATTTATCGTTTTATTTAACATCATTGCAGTTAAGAATAGTAATCTGACATATACTTATCATGAACACTCAAATAGAAAAGGTATATATATATGTATTTATATATATATATTATAAAACTACGTTATAAATTCTGGTAACAATGATCAGAGTTGATTTATTTGTGGCCTTCTTGTGATGGCCACTTAAATTTAAGTTTCCTTATTGTCTGAATAATACTGTTTCTACAATATTTAAAAAGCACGTAAAATACAAATAACTATAATGAAATAAACGCCGAAGAATCGGTAAATATGTTTTGCCTATCCAGTGCCATCCAGTGCTTCCAGGTTTTCCATGGTGGTCTAACATCAAGTGACTCGTGGATTGGTTGAAGCTAGACATTAACACCGTTGGATGCCGGCTCAGTGGTCTATTGGTTAAGCGCTCGCGCGCGAGACTGATAGGTCCTGAGTTCGAATCTGGCGAGCGGGATCGTGGATGCGCACTACTGAGTAGTCCCACAATAGGACAAGATGACCGTTCAGTGCTTCCAGGTTTTCTATGGTGATCTATCCTAATTGACTCATAAATTCTACTCTTAAGATATAATTTTTTTTAAAATTTTACATATGAAAATACATCAGCCAAATATTTTTCAAAACGCAGTTGAATTACATTAAACTTGAAAGAATAGTTAAGTTTCAATTGTTTTGTAAGCATCTGAAAACTATCAACATAAATAGTACCAATCGATTAATAAGAACTTAAATAATCTCCACAGATTGAAATCATGAGTCATTTGAAGCCAGACCACCATTGAAAACCTGGAAGCACTGGACGGCCGTTTCGTCCTAGTATGGGACTCCCCACAGTGCGCGTCCACGATCCCGCACCACGCGGGGCTCGAGCCCGGGACCTACTGGCTTTGCGCGCGAGCACTTAACCACTAGACCACTGAGCCGGCATCCAACGGTGTTAATGTCTAACTTCAACCAATCCACGAAGTTGCTCCACCATATACCATTGTCTTCAGTGAGCTGATATCTCACAACAGAACTGGTTGTACTCCACTGGTAACGGCTTCCCACTAGAACTCCAGGAGTATCTCTTGAAATCAGTCACTAGTGAGCAGATGATTATTATCAGAAGGGGTTTGTGGAGATTTTTAGAAATTTTCACAGATTGAAATCATGAGGAGTCCCATACTAGAACGAAACGGCCGTCCAGTGCTTCCAGGTTTTCAATGGTGGTCTAGCTTCAACTGACTCATGATTTCAATCTGTGAAAATTTCTAAAAATCTCCACAAACCCCTTCTGACTTAAATAATCATTAGGTTAAAGTAAATTGGAGTATCTTTCACATACATGAAACCAATATAAAAGCACTATTGAAAGAAGTTTTGAAAGAAATATAATTCGTCATAATTATTATTTGGAAAATGAATCTACTGCGTCAATACTACTTTTTACAGCTGTTTCTGTGTGTATATTTTCCTGTTATCTTATTTATTCAGTTGTATATATGTATAAATAATTTGTAATATTAATACTTAACCTCTAAATATGATCAATTACTATTTTATGCATTGAAATGACTTTTGTTTCTGATTCATAAAGATCTGTTTTGTGATCTTCAAACTATTCAACTTAAAAACAAATTCTACACATATTTTATAAACTAAACTGATAACACTTACAAACTGATAGAGGTAGCACAACAAATAGATTCGAATATTTACATTTCAAAAACTCTATATTAAAAATAAATCATATAAAGGGTATTCCGTTCTGTAAATTTAATTCTTTCAAATCTTTTGAAAGAATTGAATAGGATACAAATTTATAACAAAGTTAGTCGATTTGAGATCTTGATCATTGTAGCAGATAATTACTTTACTTTGATCCAAATAGTTTGTTTTTATAGAAGTTTAATTCAAATATAAGGCCTAAATTATCATTGTCATTCAATAAATACATACGCAAACACTCTTAGAAGAATATACAAAATTGTGAAAACAACAACATGTAACAATAATAATACTATCAAGCTATCATATCAATAAAAAAAGTTATAAAAATAATAATTTTTTTTGTTGAAGTAAAGAAAACTTTAATCAATAATTTCCTCTTTAAAGAGAGCAAGAACAAAAATTGGTGCAGAATAATATGAATTCATTTTATTTCGTTAGGTTCTGATCAGCTGCTTACAACCTAAAATATTTGAAAATCAGAGTTATTACAGTTATTGACATATTTATATATAAGAGAATGATTAAAGATGAATGTATGTGTATCATGATGTAGCGAAAATTCCGATTGAATTAATGAGGTCATAAAATTTTGTTTCGAATAAGTTTGGGCGGAAAGCTTCCAGAACATTGAAACAGTGATTAGAAATCATGGAATTAAAAACATATTAGATGATTATGTAATGAAGTAACTGAGAATAGATTACTGGTAATAAAGAAAGATATGAATTAAGATCAGTCAGTTATGAATGATGTAATTTTAGAACTTAACGAAATAGAATGAATTCATATTATTCTGCACCAATTTTTGTTCTTGTTCTCTTCAAAATAATAAAGTGAACTATATGTATGAAATTTTCTTCTTTTTTTGTCTTTAACTAAAAACATTAGTAAATTTACAATAATCTAAAATCCGTATATACTACTTGTAGCCATGACAAGGAAAATAGGCAATTGAAATTCGCAAATAGATTTATTTAATTAAAATCAACAACAAAAAATACAAAAAAAAACTTTATTCATTTTCATTTGAAATAAAATAAGCACATTTTATGCAAATGAGTTTGCATAGAGAATTTTGAAAAACAAAAACTAGGTAGATACAATAAAAGAATTTAAAAAAAATAAAAAAATAAAAAAGGAACATACTTGAACAATTTCAATAACATAATTATATTTAGTTTGTTCATCTGGCCAATTAATTAATAACCATGTATTTATTAATTGAGTCAAATTATTTGTTATTTGTAAACTTGATATTGAATGTAAACCAAAATAGTTTTCTATTTTAATTTCATTTGGTAAAAAATTTATTAATTGTTCATTAGTTGGTATAAGCTAAAAGTAAAAAAAGAAAAAACGTTTTTGTTTGTTTTTATAAATAAATAAAAATAATATTTTAAATAAAGATGGATAATGATTAGTTATGAAATCTAGTTTGATACGCGTTCCATCTTATTTGGAATTTGTCAACTGGATCTACTTGTACATATGTCAACATGAGACTGATCAATTGAAGTCCAAAATAACAATGAAAAGATGCAAGTCAAACAACAACAAGTGAATTAAAACTTCACCTCACTGCACAAGTAAGTGGCTATCAGGACTTAGTAGCTAAGTGGATAGTGCGATGGCGTTTGTAAACGAACGGTACTATTCGAGTTCGAATTCCGGAGTGAACATCAACTATGAGATGTTAGTACAACCAGCTGACGAGTCCCAAATAGGATGAAACACGCGTCAAACTAAATTCCACTGATAGCCTCTATGCATCTCTGCTTATAAAGTTTGTGAATTAAGTTTATATTGAGACAATTCGCACAGGATGCACATATGTCAACATGAGACTGATCAGTTGCAGTCCTAAGTAACAATCGGAAGAGACAAGTAAAACAACATCAAGTGGAAGAAAAGTATTTTTTTCTTAGAAAAAATGGTTTCATGAAAACGAATTGATATCATGTAGATTGAAATTTGGAAACTATATTATTAATCAAAATATGTTTTATAATGTATATTTATGCTTGAAACGATAAAGATATTACTTCAAGAAACTGTACATGTATTAACAATATATGAAGTTCTTCACAAACTTTTGACAGAAGCCATAAAACGGTTTACTGAAGATAAACTACGGCAAAATACACAAAAAGGTTACAACTTGATGGTAAAATTATAAGACAGATTACTGGAATGCTTCGAATTCTATTAAGACTATACCAGTAAAAATTTATTTTAAATCAAAGTTCATAAATTAAAAACAGCTTCATGTAAACCAGTTGTCTTTTTCTGATGATAACCTCAGGCTCTAAATTTTAAAACGGATTTTATTATAATATAAATATACATTGGTTTTTTAGATCTGCAACCTATAAAGTACGTCCGGCTGACTAGTTCTAAATCGGCAAATATATTAGTCATGGATTCTACTGCTACCCACCATCTATCTCTGCTTTGAATTTCAATATATTTAATAAGATCGGCTATAAGACATTCATATTGTGTATTAATCTATCAATTACCACTTATTTCAAGAACTAAGCGATTCTTTATTATTATTATTATTATTATTATTATTAGTGGTTTTATTCAATAATATATTTTCGGTACAATATAAAATTCTCAATTTCAACAGGTTTCCTTATCTTATTTCCCGATCGATCCTTGCAATAAATAATGAGTGGTTACCAGTTAGATGTTAGCAGTTCAGAACTTGACATCTGAATAATGGACATTTTTTTCTATGCTTGTATCCAGTAACCACGTTGTCTCTAATTGGGCTCTTTTGCAATCTGTACAGCGTAATGTCATAAACGTTTCACAAACGCACCTGAATAAGTTATGAAACTAATATGATATGTTAAAACGAATAAGAAAATAGATAACTTGTTGAAATATCCAGATGACAGGAACAGGTAGTCTTAGTCGAACCAGATGCTCTATACTATGCTTCTTATTGATAAAGTTCATCGAATATGATTATCAAAAGTAACAAAGTATATAAGAATACAAAATGTATTATTGTTATCAAGAAACTAAAAGTTAAATTTTTATGGAACATAAAAATCAATTCAAAATAATATAAAGACAAGATAAGAAACAATAATTACGTAATTAGTTTGTATAATATACTATAAGATAAAAGCGATAAATCAAGAAAAGAATATTCACAAAGGAAAAGAGAGAAAGATTAATCGATTACATAACTAAAGATATAATTCAGGTTTCATTGTGTGTTACATAAAGACTTTAATATTGTTTTCAATTTTGAATTTATATCCTTAAAAAATTAAATCATTAAAATAAACATCTTGTCATAACCATTTAATTCTATCTTTTTTATATAGAAAAATATACTCAGAAGTGTATATTTTTACAGTAATTATCAAATTGTATAATATAAAGAATATATTCTTAATTTTCTTTATAAATCATTCCAGCATAGCTATAAAGAATATTATTAATGGTTAGATTTCATATAATCTAATGAAATATATTGATTTATTTTGTAATTTAATGTCATTCAAGTTGACTAATTGATTTGTAAATGTGAAACTTATTGTTAAAGTGTTTCTAAGGGACTTAGTTACAAAAAACTATCTGAGAAAAATAATAACTATATATTCACTGATTGAAATCATGAGTCAATTGAAGCTAGACTACCATGGAATACCTGGAAGCACTGGACAGCCGTTTCGTCCTATTGTTGGACTATTCAGAAGTGCGCATCCACGATTCCCCACTCCGCGAGATTCGAACTCGCGATCTATCAGTCTCGCGCCAAGTGCCTAACCAACTAGACCACTGAGCCGGCATCCAACTTCAACCAATCCACGATGTTACGCCACCGTACACCATTTTCTTCAGTGAGTTGATATCTCACAACAGGTCCTGGGTTCGAATCTCGAGGGGCGCGCGATCGTGGAGGCGCACTACTGAGGACTTACATACTAAGACGAAACGGCCGTCCAGTGCTTCCAGGTTTACCATGGTGATCTAGCTTCAGTTGACTCATGATTTCAATCAGTGAAATTTCTAAGACCTCCAAAAAAACCCTTCTGATAACCATATATTCAGTTACTTTTTCAGATATATATATGATTTAATGAGAAATATATTTCTCAATTTCTACAATCTCTTTAAAGATCTATTAAATACACTGATCATCAATGATCTATCTTCGCCTTTTAATAATCACATAATAATCTCATTATGCCTTATAACACAATGTTTTAACCGAATCATTTATTTCAATTATTTTTCAATACAAATAGGGTAGTTTATATGTTATGAATTAGGAATTAGTAAACATATAATCAACTTTTTTAGATCTATAATTATTTGATCTTTAATATTAAAATTTGAATAAGTTGGAGAATGGTATGATTACGAAAAAAGGAAGAGATCTTATAAATAATGATAATAACAGTTTAAAAGGTTAGTAAACATCCTGAACTTTTATACAAAAAAAAAGGAAAATAAAAGGAAAATTAATAACTAATTTCTTTGATACTTAATTCTGTTAAAATAAAATTTCTCTTCGATTAAATAAAATTTTCTTTATAACTAACTAGTTATATGAATTAATTATAACATTTTAATTTTTGGGTCATGTCCTGAAATATTAAATATACCATTATTAAATATAAGAAAATTTCAATCATGAATGGATTTTGTTATTTATTCCTCCTCCCCCCCCTCGCCGCAAAACAAATAGATAAATAAAAAAAATAAAACCAACTCCAATCGTTTTTGATTAAGATCATGAACTGATTGATGATAGACCACCGTTGGAAATCTGGAAGCACTGGACGACCGTTTTATCCTATCGTGGGACTTTTCAGCAGTGCGCATCCATAATCCTGCTCTTATGATTTGAACCCAGAGCCTTCAGTCTCGTGCGCGAACGCTTAACTTACTAGACCACTGAACTGGCATTCAGTGGTGTTATTGTCTAGCATCAGTCAATCAATCAATTCATTTTCTAGTGATTTAATGTTATAGATTTGAATTAAGATAATATCAGTTTTCAGTAGTATAGACAGATTATTGTGTATTCAAATGATCTATCAAAAAATCCTATAAATAAATAAAAATGTTTTATTTAACAATTTTTTGATGTATGCAAAATGTAATAATGATGAAAAGATACATGATAGAGATGAATGATTTTCATATTTTTATTTAAGCAATAAAAATAGGTAACTAGGTATAGTGACTTGGTTTCGAGATAATTTCTTATGCTTCATATATTAATCACTATGATAACCGTTATTTAATAAATCCTGACGGTGAATACATTTAGAAGGTAATCTAAAGTGATGATTACAGTTTGTTATTGGATAGCGCAGATTACAAATTTACAAGCACATCAAACGAATACAGAGACAAATTGAGAAGCGAATTAATTTGTAAGATTTAAACACATTTGTATATGAAAAAGTGAATGGTTCATCGGGCAATTTTTAAGCAACTAACATTTCAGTTGAAGAAAGGGTTATGTGCGTAGGCTGTCGCATGTGATCAAGCATACATGTTCATACAGTCATGATAATAATAATAATAATAACACAAAGAAATAGTAGAATTGTTACTGTTCGAATAACACTGTCTGTTAAATAAGTTAACCAATAGGCTTGATAAAATTGATCGTAAACAGACTTAATTGTAGAAGAGATTATATTTGCGATTAATGGAATTGTAGTTTTTATTTCATCAGTATTTCAAAACTAATACAATTTATTGAAAACATGAGCAGATCTCAACTAGATCAGTATTGAAAACTTAGAAACCCTAGACAGCTATTTCACTCTGGTATGAGGTTGAATCTTAAGCAGTACACACCTACGACTCCACAACTAAAGATCAAAACCCAGAATCTTTGGTTTCATACTTATATAAATTTATATTAAATAAAAGGGAAGATTCAAAATTTCAACTTTGTATTATTATTGATAATAAAGATAATTTGTTTACTTATAATAATTGGATACGTAAAATTTCATTTACACTTTAAATGTATTGTGTATAATCAGAAAGATTATATTTATATCATAAAATTCCCATTATAATTTTATTGATTGTGTTCATTTCTTCTTTACACTTAATTATTTGTTTTTATCTAGATCGTTCTAGGAATTGTAAAAAGTACTCAGTAGTATATATTCATTAGATATAGGATAATAAAAATGTTCTTCAGTATAGGGTTGTGGAGATTATTAAGTTTTTGATTGTGATCATGAACCGATTGATGTCAGACCACCATTAAAAACCTGGAAGCACTAGACGGCCGTTTCATCTTAATGTGTGACTCCTCAGCAGTATGCATCCACGATCCC